TTTGCACTTTGTTGAAGTTTGCCCTTCAACTAGCTGAGTGACGGGTATCTGATATTCAGGGAACTCGACTATTGCATTCTATCTTGTTTTTTTAAAATAATATTGTTGAACAATATTATTGAACGGAAAACGTTTGCAGAATATATTACAAATTTTAATATCAAAACACATTTAAAAGTAGTTTAATTTATAAACAGAATTTAAAACAATTATGTAGGCTTATATATATACATATTTGTGTGCTATTTGTGGGGACAATAGAACATAGGAATGAAATAGTTGGAAATAAAATGTGGGCTGATTTAAATACTTAGATATATCAGTAGAAAGTTGAGAGAGCTTAAATTTGTGGCCCATGAGGGTGAACATTCCATAAATAGGGAAGTGCGCCCCAACGTATTCTTAAGTACATTTAAAATTAACAATGGTAAATTGTATTTACGAAGTTTTTCCATTAAGTTTACTCAGTTCAGTTGGTTCTCCGGCATCGCCATGTACCATCCTGGACTCGACGAGCGGTGCTGAAATCTGCAAATGCAGAACGTAGTCGGCAGCTAGAAAAACAAAGTTTCAGTTACTGCTAGAGCTTAAAGTAGAGACTAAATGGAAAAGACTAAATCTAGCTTTGGGAATAATCAAACATGTGTAAACACTGTGGATGAAAGCGGTGGAAACGAAAAGCGTGAGATATTTGCCGAGTACTAGGGATGATAAGCGTAAATGAATGCTCTGCTAAAAACTCGTCTCACTTTGCTCCAGAAGGAATTCCAAATCATCGGGGCAGTCTATCGTGGGGAAATCAATATTAGTCGACTCCTTCAGGATCACGCCAATAGTTTTGTCCGCACTCATGAGAAACAAAGGCACATTCGCCTTGGCGAGCTCCTTTTGCAGGGAGCCCATTCCTCGAGCTGCCGTAAAATCGAATTCTGGAAGAAAGCACTTTTAAATATCTAGAGGCAAAACTGAATCATAAGTCATACCGTGCACATGGGCGCAATCCAAGATCACAGGTGCGGTTCCATAAATGGTCAGAGCTTTTGAAATAACCGAACGAACCCTTTCGATGGCCAGGAAGTACAGTGAACTGTGCTTCGGGCGAATCAGAATGTAGTTGACGCCATTGGTGGTCTGGAGCTTGGAGACACTCAACACGGGTCGGGCGGCTCGGTAAACCAGGAAAGCCACATCGGTACTCACGCCCAGCAGAAGACCGATCTCGACGCCCACAGCCAGACTCATTACGAAAGTAATGGCACCTGGGAGCAGCTCCCGGCGGCTGCACCGCCACAGCGGCTTTATGACCTCGAACTCAATCATGAATATCACCGCCGAGATAATAACCGCACTGAGAGCGGCCTTTGGGATGTACTGGAAGTAGGGTGCCAGTAGGCCGAGCGCCAACAGAACCAGTACGCTCGTGTAGCAGCCTCCAAGCGGAGTCCTTACTCCACTTGCGTGGTTTACAGCGCTGCGCGAGAAGGATCCTGTCACCGGCATGGAGCTGCAGAAGGCTCCACAAATGTTGCTCATGGACAGTGCAACCAGTTCCCGCGTGGGACTCAGTCCGGCTCCTCCAAAGGCCTTTGAAATAGCTACATTTCCAAGCACAGCAATGATGGGTAGTATAAGCATGGAAGGACCCAGTTCCGAAAACTGAAAATCAAATGAAATTGATTTAGTCTGCGTATTTAAAAAACAGGTAAAACTAAGCAAAATCATTTTAATTTATTCTAATGCTAACCAACAATTGAAAACAAGAGAAAAAGTATCTTAAACAAAACAACACCAAGTCAGACTGGCGAGGACTTACGTAGTTAAGGTGTTAAGTCTCGGTGATAAATTAATTCGGCCATAAAAAAGTTAAGTAGTCTACTTGTGCTCACATACCATCTGTTCAAAGTTCTGTCTGATCTCAGTGCCATTCCTGTCCAGAATGGTGGTCCCAAACTTTGGCAGTGAGACGCTGGGCAGACCACTCTTGACCTTTCCAGTGAGAATGAACGGGCAGCTCTCCATCTGCTCGCATGTGCTGTAGGCCAGCACACTGGTCACCAGTACGACCAGCGCATTCCGTCCAGTGGCTATTACCCAGATGCTACCACTTATAAGCTGCTGTGTTCGCAAGTTGCGGATTCGACCGTCCAGCTTCACGTCTTTGAGTTTCTACAAGAATGAAGTGAGATTACACAGGATAATCCAATATCCAAGGATATTTTAGTTTCTCTTACGCGCAGAAGCAGCAGAATTATAATGGAAATCAGACCAAGGGTAAAATCGCCTGTTCTAACTTTATGTAGATTTCCGAACACGGAGCGCATGGTATTGATGAAATCAGAGCCGGATCCACCACGCAGACCCAGCAAGCCTTTTAGCTGGGAGGTGCCAATGATGACGGCGGTGGCCGATGTGAATCCGACTGTAACTGGCAGCGATATCAGGTCCACCAGGGCACCCAGTTTCAGCACTGCCATTCCCAGCTCCACGATACCGGAGATGAGGCACAAGAGTATCGCGTACGCTGGACCCGATCCCAATCCAAGTCCCGTGTGCCGGCTGGTCATCAGCGCGAGCAAAGCGGTGGGTCCAATGGTCACCTGCCGGCAGCTGCCCAGCATGGCGTATATGATCCCGCCCACAAAAGCGGAGTACAGACCATACTGGGGCTCCAGTCCGGCTAGCGTCGCGTAGGCCAGTCCTTGGGGCAACACCGTCAGTCCAACCGTCACTCCGGCTATCAGATCCGCCACTGCATCCTGGCCGGTATACCCCTGCAGCCACTTGAGACCCGGCAGCAGGCGATATCCCCAGTCCCTGAGGGTCATGTCTTCTATTTCTATGGGATAAATATAAATCATTATCAGAAAACGTACAATTATTAAATATATAGTAAGAATATGTAATATAGTACACCCATAAGAGCTGGTTGAAGTCATTATTTCCCATTACCACAGAAGAAACCAGAAAATATTCAAGATTAAAATAGAATTACGTTGCAAATATTAAAGATCGAAACCCGCAGGTTCAACGACATTTCCAATTCGCATAATTATACATTTGATTATGAGACGTCTGCGTGACAGACAAGCCCATAGAAAAGAAGACATCAACTTATCTACTACCAGTAAGCAAGTCATGAATAAACGTCGTAGAATTCAAAAAAACAATAGACGAAATGCGAGTTTTTGGTAAATAAAAAAGAATAGCTGCCAGAATTACAAATGGCTCATTGAGCATACATATTCTGGAACTGAAAGTGAATAAAGAAGTCAAGTTCTGTGGTATTTAACTAATTATGAATCTTCTTACTGGCTCTATTTCGGAACAAGTGTTAGGAGTACTGGTAATATAACCCATATTTATATTTAAGAATAAATAATTTGACTAGCTGCTCTCAGGGCTATCCCACATCAGCCACAATATGGCATTTCGTCCAAATTAAAACAATCTAATCTAAAAAGTCTATCTAACCGCAATTCATTGAATTTGGTTGGAAACTCACGTATTTAAACAAATGTTTTGATGTTGTTGTCTCTTCGAGGGGCGCGTTCCATTCGAAATGCGCGTTCTTTTCGGCAGGAATTCTTCTCGCAGAAAGAACGGAGAGCTCTGGAGAAGATCAGGTCGGTTCGGGAGCTGGCCAGAGACTGAAGAACGATCGCGTCAACGAAGAATTCCTGATCAGTGATCACACGACCAGCTCAATTAGCTGAACAAGTGCAAGTGGCGGAGTTGAATGTATTGAAAGTATTGGTTTGGGTCGCTGAAAACGTGACCAAATTGCTCGATCGTTGAAGACGAATACGAGCACGAGATACGTGAACTTTAATTGAATTTCGCTTTGTTTACAAACTATTTTTCCAATTCGGAGCCAATAATTATAGCGAAATTGTTTGTTTGTTATGTCATTTGCAAACGCCAATCGCTTGTGGAAAGAATGGGGAGTTTAGAATTGCTATTAGTTCCACCATGCAATGATAATGCGATTTAACAATGTCAACAATTTTACGGCGTTTAGGGAGCTATAAGCAAGCATTGTGAAATAAGAATAGAATATCATGTATATTAAAATTATTGGAGCGCTTAACTGGAATGATTTTACAGAAATCACCTATAAAGGGAAGGTATTTGGTATTTCTGTAACACAATCTATAAAGTTCCATTACTGGCTGACCTTGTAGGTTTTGAATTCCGGAGGTCAGATAAGAAGAAAAGTCCTAATCAGTACGGAAACGTGTAGTTCATGTGGCTTCATCAGCACTTTGTAACCGGAATAGAGCATAAAAATGCCAAACGTGCGAAAAGTTTATTAACCCTTCGAAGAAACTGGAGAAATCCGTTCTTTACCGGTCCACGAAACCAAAATAATTGGAGAGATCAGTGGTTACATACCGAAGTATGTACATACATATATATGTACATATATAAACATAATTGCCGCTTGTTGACAGACGGCGTATGGAAACTGAGCTTTATTTACCTTTTTTGCTTTCTACTTTACTTTGGCATGCCTCCAGAAACTAGTTTTGCACTGTATTTGTGTAAACGTAAACAATGGTAGAAGATACGAGAACAGTTGATTCAATTGTTTAGTATTGTTTGTTTATTTATAACGCGAGCCAATTCCTGAAGAATTTGCAACAACAAATGGGTCAAGTTAAAAGGAAAGTGACACAAACGAAAAAAAAAGAAAACCACAAATCCAGTAACACTTCTTACTTTTAATTTACTATATTTATTTATCAACTATTAACCATAACATTTAGGTTTAAAAAATAGCAATGCAACCACTTTTACCGGTGAAATTGAAATAAATAAATTTGCTTGCTTGCCAGCAAACAGCTGAAAGTACAGAGCTGCCACCGCTCACGAACTTTCACAGTTCACTGGCGCCCTCTAGGCGGCAGTTGTAGCAAGTCAAGGGCAATGTTGGTAGCACCAAAATGGCCAAGTGGCTAACAATTAAATACAGCAAAACCCAATAATTTTTCTTATTTTAGATTTCTAATCACATATGCATATGCACAAAACTCAAAATTCCAAAACATAGGCCACTATAGTGGCAAAACTATCGATATTTGAAGTAATTACACGTTTTCCAGCTCTGGAATCCAAAGACGAACGTTTACCCACACTGCCGCAATCGCGAACATTTTTTATTATGGCACTTGCGCGGCTCACAAACAAAATTCGCTGATAAAAACCCATTGGAAGTCATTTCCGTACGCCGAGGACTCAGCCAATTTAAGTGTCCGGTTAAAAAGATCGCTGCACAGGAAGCGGAACTGCCCTGAAAAATATATTTTTCCCGCCGCTTTCTATCCCATCACCCCCGCAAAACAAGGGACGCCGATCGAAACATTTAGTTTGTGCAAGTAGCTGAAACCCACACGGTCGGCCATCAAATATTATGAAATGGGTAAGCTGCGAGGGTAACAACGGGTGGGTCTACGGATTTTCACACCGGTGGGCCGATTTCCACAGCCTTGCGTTTCCATGGCAAGTCAAAAATGAACTGCAATTGCAAAATGAATCTTCAATGCCGCTGCATGTATGTGTGAGTGTGTGTGTGTGCGGTGTGCTGCGCGTGTGTGTGTGCAGACTTCTTAGGGCGTTTTAACTGTTATTTTTTAAGGTTTTATTTTCCGCCAAAAGTCACATTTTCACGCTTGTCTTTTGGAGGAAAGCCTCCACTATGAACCCCATTTCCAAATGGATCGAAATTCTCAACCTGAAATCGTCAATGTCACTTGCAATTCCTCAAAAACAAAATGAAATCACCAGCCTGCTATAAATTCACGTATTTTGTACATATCAAGGTACAATATGTTTAATATCCTTAAAAAAGGAATATCATACCAAAATCGTTTGTTATACAAGATATAAAGGATAGGGAAGATACTTATAATTTCCCTGCATATTTGAAAACCTTAAATTAAGCTTTGGTACAACGAGTGGAATGTTTATCACTGTGCAGTTATGAAATAAGTCATGTTAATGCTGTCTAATTCCAGCATCAGCTTTAAATACCTTGCCTAGTGTTATCTGAAAGTGTGTTAATAAATGCGATACAATCTAGACATAATAGTGTGTCCTGTGAGGGCAGATTGAATTGTACATATTCCGACACTCTTGCATTTGATCAGGAGCATTGATCCCCCGAATCAGAGCTTAAGACTATTCACCCACGTGGAACTTGTTGCTTGAGGCTTGGTTGTAGGTCAGTGCGAAGAGGTGGCTGATCCGGCGGCGAAAGGTGCGCACCAGGCGACGTCCGGCGACGATGTAAGTAGCGCCCATCGTAATCCCCATCACTCCAGTAACCACCTCCAAGCAAATTTTCAAAAATCGTTTCCTTCACTTGCCTTGTTTTGATATTATTTGTTTTTATGTTGTTCCTTCGTATCAGCAGCAAAATTTGAGCACTTCTAACATCGAAATTGGCCAATCTTCAATTGTGAACTCCTGTTTAGTTGCGCTATCGTGTTTAACCAATTGGACCAGCTATTTTATTATGTTGCTAACTCTTACCTCCACACAAATACACAAACACACAATACACTGGGGTTAGTCCTTATCTATGGAAATATTCCAAATCAGTAACCTTATTCTGATAAATTCGATACCCAAGCACTGTAAACAACAATTAGTAAAACATCACAATAAACAAAGGTTTCATAAAGTGTTGTTTGGATCGTATAAATCTGTATTGGGCAGCAATTCTATGCTCTATAAATGCAATCATTGCATTAATGGCAGAAACTATTAATCCACATCTTAATTTGGGCTAAACAAACACAAACAAGTAAACACTTTTATCCACTAAAATATGTATGTATGGTATATACAACAAGTAGTTTCACCCAAACCAATACCTTTCCCAGACAATGCCATCGGCCATGAGTGGCGCGGCACATGCCCACATACCCAGCAACGAGGAGTGCGGCATCCGCGACGTGTGGAAGCATAACCTGGAGGAGGAGTTCCGCACCATTCGGAAAGTGGTGCAGAAGTACCACTATGTGGCCATGGACACCGAGTTTCCGGGCGTGGTAGCACGACCCGTCGGCGAGTTCCGCTCCACGGCGGACTATCATTATCAGCTGTTGCGCTGCAATGTCGACCTGCTGCGGATCATCCAATTGGGCCTGACCTTCATGGACGACGATGGAAAGACACCACCCGGCTACTCCACCTGGCAGTTCAACTTCAAGTTTAACCTGAGGTAATGGTATTATGTTCATACTCTAATGGGGGGTCCTACATTATCGTTTGTATCCCTAGCGAGGACATGTATGCGCAGGACTCAATCGATCTGCTGCAGAATTCCGGAATTCAGTTCAAGAAGCACGAGGAGGATGGCATCGATCCCATCGACTTTGCCGAGCTGCTCATGAGCTCCGGCATCGTGCTGGTGGACAACATCAAGTGGCTGTGCTTCCACTCCGGCTACGATTTTGGCTACCTTCTAAAGCTGCTCACCGATCAGAACCTGCCCTCGGACGAGGGTGAATTTTTCGAGCTGCTTCACATCTATTTTCCCAACATCTTCGACATCAAGTATCTGATGAAGTCGTGCAAGAACCTGAAGGGCGGTCTGCAGGAGGTGGCCGATCAGCTGGAACTGCGGCGCGTGGGCCCCCAGCATCAGGCCGGCTCGGATGCATTGCTGACGGGCATGGCCTTCTTCAAAATGCGTGAGGTACAGCACACAAATGATTTGCACTTTGACCCAGAGACGCCCGTTGTACTCTTTCCCTATCTGCTTGAGCACACCATGAATATAAAACCGACGGTCAGCCGGATTGACCTGCTGAGTCGTCCGGCATACATCGGTGGCTGTCCTCCCGACGAATCTGCGATAATCAGCAGTGGCAACGGCTCAGGCAGCACCAACTGCTCCGAGCAGCTCACCTCGAGCGCCTATACGGTTACACCTCCCAACACTCCCGGCTTAGTAAAGAGCAATGCCTCATCGCTGTCCCACTTGGCCTGTGTTTACTTTGAATAGCCTCGGACTATTAGACAGCAGTGGTGTTGCCTTGCACTTGCCACTGCTAGCGTAACTTGCCTCCGCCCATCATAATCATTATTCATTAGGTTTAAGGTATTTCATGGTTGTCGCAACGCATTTTCATACATAACTTTTCTATGTACTTATTAATTGCCTGCAGAATTAGCAGAGTCAGTGAACCAGAATTAATGAATGAAATCCATAATTTAAAGTGTTCTTAGTTAGTTTGGAACTGTTAAACCCATGTGAAACATGTTTATTTAGTTTTAAAGCCCGCGTTACGATATGAAATGAGAAAGATGCTGGATTCGAATGGAAAATTAAATGAATTGGAATTAATTTTCTTTAAATTTTTATTTGCATTCTTTGGTGTTTGGGCATGGCTTGTTTGAATTCATATTACATCGTTTTAATCGTTTTCATATTAATTTTAAGTTCAATTAATGCTGTTCATTTATATCGAATTAACAAATTATTCTTTTGTAATTTTAAGCGCTTTGCTAACATATGCTTTCACACGGTTCACTGTGTGTATCAGCGTAGCAAGACCTTTAACTTCCTGACAACTGCCGAAAAGTTTTGAAATAACAAGAAAACTGCAGAACAAAACCCCCACCCCCATACTAACAAACATAAATATGAAAATTATTAACATAAAAACCTCATTCATCACATCGGTGTACGGTATGTAACCCCATCTACAAGTAGGTCTAAGACTTTGCTGCTGTAGACATATTTGTGCTTTTTCGCTTTGTAGCACCGAACTGAACTTGCTCGCATATGTACATCCTATACCATTCTAAGGAACTGCTTTGTAAACAGTTTGTGCTGTCCCATTCTAAGCACGATCCATTGTTCTGTACCCGCCTAATGGAACTTTAACTCTTTTCAGATGTTCTTTGAGGACAATATCGACCACGCGAAGTACTCCGGACACCTGTACGGCCTGGGCACCTCCTTCATCGTCAACGGCACCAACTTCCACGAGAGCAACGGCGAGACGAACAGCGCCTCATGATTCGTACTAATGGGGAACGTGGTCGTGCACGACAGAAAGTTCGATCAGGAGGATACACCGGGTCCGTCGGCGTCTGTGCAGGCCACGCCACCTGGCCAACTGCTCCTAGCCGCAACCACACCTTTACAGTAATCTGTCATTAGTCACAGATCGCTCCCATTTATTAACAATTGCCCCGTTGGCCATAAAGCTACTTTCTTGATGTTCCCGCGCAAGTTCAGATGAAACCCAACCATTCAATACAACAACATGGCATAAACTAATTGTAAATCGCAAAGATATGAGAAACCTGCAAAACAAAAATAGATTCAATTTCAAATTCTGCATGTCTTAAATGTGTTACGAATACAAAACTAAGTAATACTAAGCTAATACTGTAAGCCCATGGGCGAAACATAGAATATTGTGTATTTGTAAAAACAACAAGAAAACAATATATTTAAAACTTTTTAATTTAGTGTACATTTTGAAAAAGCGTTTTTCTTTTTAATGCGAATACAAATCATGTTGGGTCCACTATAGTAGGGAAAAGAAAAAACACTGCATGAACCTGTGGTGTGAAATATCAACTGTTTTATAATCGAAGGAAAAGAGTATCCGAATATATTTATATAATTAGGATGCTTTTCTAGGGTTAATAATCAATTGTGGGTTAATAAGAATATCAACGGTATTACCCCTAAATATTTAAATATAACGGAAATAAGTTAACGTTGCATTGGTTGGATTTTTGTAAAACTGATGTGCGGTCACACCGAGCTCTAGTCCTTATGTTTTGTTTGCCTTAGTTTATGGAAAATTTCTTTTAGTTTTTGAGTATTAAAAGTCGATTCGATGGCAACTGTGGCTGAAGGCAATCACAGCGTCTTCGACCTGGTCACCAAACTGGCCACAATGCTGGTCGCGGAGGAGCTGGCGCCAAAACAACCCACAGCTGCGTTGGTGTCCAAAAGGCGCTCCAAAATTTATGAATCTCTGCTCCGGAGTGGAACGATGACCTCCCAGGACAAGCTGGAGCTGCTCCACCAGGTAAGCAGCGAGGTGGCAGAGAACCCCAAACGGAAGGAACTGCTGCTCAGCTTTCAAAATCTGCTGGAAAGACAGCAGAAGGCAGAACCACAGGAGACAGAAAACAAGGATGCGGAAAACCACTCAGGAGTGGTGATCAAACGTCTAAAACCAGGCCCCTTGCAGCTACTTGAAATCATAGAGCATCTCCACAAGGAGCCAGTTAATCCAAAGGCCTTGGTTGGCATCGATCAGATGAGTCGTGCCCTGAAACCCCTGCAAATACAGCCCTACTCCGATCTTCTCACGAGCAATCTGAATGGAAAGCCTCCTCCGAAAAAGCAAGGCCCCAAGATCATACCATCTATTGTAACCCGCGTCGGATTAGCAGAGTCAATGACACGGATGAGAAATGACATGGAGCAACCAATGCAGCCACCACCCCGATTGCCAGTGCTCGCGAAAAAAGTGTCAGCTCCACTGGAAGAACGACCTTTTGTGGCAGAACCTGGACCGGAGAAGCACTTCATTTCGGATCACATGATGACTAACGAACTTAAGCTCCTCCGGAACAAAGACCTGGTGCTCAACTACATAGATGAATCAACCCTAATCGATCACTTAAAGAAAGCAGCAGGTGGTCTTCAGTCGGTTACGTTTCCAAGTCCGTCGGCAGATAAATTGGAGTTGCAAATCAGGCCCAACACAACTTTGCCCACTTTGCTGCCGGAGGTGCTGGCGGATTTTGCTAATCACTTCCTTCGCGCCGGCTGTGCCTTCCGGCGTTTGAATGCCCGCACCAAGCGGAATAGGAACACCGAAACGCGGCTGGAAAGGCCCCTAAATCGAGTGAGATTGAATAACTTATTTCCTCTAGCGTGTTTTAAAAACCCATGCCTTTTTACAGGCCATGCGAGAGACAATTATAGATTACCTAGCCACCACTCGGGAGTTTTTCCTCTCCTTGCCAGTCGACAGTCTTTCCCAGCTGCTGACGGATTCCCTTACAGCGATTCAGTTACTCTACCAACTGGATAGGATGTTCGAGAATGAACCGAGATGTAAGACTGCCGCACCGCCAAATTATTTTAAAATTAACCATTTCTATATAATTTAATTCAGTAAACTTGGATACGGGGATAACTGGCTCCTTCCTGTTGAGCTCGATATGGCTGGCCATTGACACCTGCGGCAACAGTGACTTTCTGCAGCTGCTTATCTACTTGTTGCGGTGCATATCCCAAACGTACTTTGTTCAGCTACAGAGGTGGATATACCACGGTGAATTGGACGAGAAGGTCAACGAGATTTTCATTAGCCGTTGCCTGAACACTTCACCGTCGTTTACAAACGAGTGCAGCAAGGAGTTCTTTGACAAAAGCTACCAAGTGGTCAACGAGGCGGTTCCAGAATTTTTAGCCGGCTGCGAACAGGAAATCTTCCAATGTGGAAAATACAACCAGGTGCTAAGGGCTTATAACGCTCAGGTATGGAAATGATTATTCAAAATTCGAGTCCATCTAAAATGATTGTTTTTTTTTTGTTAAGCACCCCGTTTTTGAAGTGCAGTACCCGGATATAATGGTATGCCTAACGGAGCAGCAGCTGAAAAAGATGCGCCGCCTCCTGGCCGATAAATATGCCACCATCTATCAACGTTTTGGATCGTGCAGCATGAAAAGTATTTTCGAGGAACGCATGGCGACAAAGCGTGTATTTGCCAATCTAATGGTAAAACGAACGCAGGCCCATATTGAAGCCTGGGCAGAGGAGCAGCGTGAACTTCAGCTAAAAGCGAATGCCCAGAAAAAACTCATGAACGATCAGTTAAACGCAGAGCAGGAACGTCTCCAGCAAAATCGCTTAGAAAAGCGGCGTCAGGAGATTGTTAATGAGCTCGCATTTCAGCGGGAATGCGAACGGATGGAGGATAACCGGCTGGAGCTTGAAAAACAAGAGTTGCAAAAGAAAGTGATGCAGCTAGCAGCTGATTTGACTGGAAGAAACAAGCAGGAAGTGAACAGTCCTGACCAAAGCACAATCAGCGATCTCAGTTTTGCATCCTGTCTTGAGGGACCAGATTGTCTAGCAGAATCTACGTCTGATAAAGATGATGCAAATACAGAAAAGTCGGAGGACGAGGCAGCAGAACCGTTGGATAAACCATTAGGTGTCCCATTGGAACAGTCAGGAGCTGAAGGTGGGGTTCAGTATCAACGAAGTCACTCGGACGTTATAAATTCCAATGAGCATCCAACCACCCAAACAGAGTTCAATCGAAACCGCCAGCATGGTCTGTCCTCTGACCAGTTTCAAGAGTGTCATGCAAGGGTACATCTCCAACAGTCCGACTTGCTTAAAAATACTGCCAGCACGAGTTCAGGATTGCACGCTGAACTTCCTCCGGATTTTAATGCTAATCTCAATTGTCCGGAAACGAAGGAGCTGACAGAACAACAGCGAAACCGCTTGCGCAACGAGCATCACGACGGCTTCGTCAGCTTTAACTCCACCGAAGATGAACACACCGATCGAATGCGTTGCCAATTGAACTCAAATACGGAACGTGCCAGAAATCGGCGGCGTGTTATGGACAGCGAGTTTGGTATTACTATTGGTTATAAGATTAAGGATAAGGGAAAAAATGCCACGCCTTGTCTGCCTCTAGCACTCGACAAGCTTCATGTCGAAGTCCCCTTGGCGGTGCTAACTCCTATGTCCACCACTTCCGATGTTGATATCGGGGAGCCGTCACCTAGGGAAATACCAGAAATAGCTGACACTGCTAATAATAACAATGTTTGTGGGAGCAACGAAAGTTTTTATCCGCACTCACCAAACCCCGATCTCGCAATTGCTAGACCCACCAGCTCATTATCGAAAGCCATTAATCCGGTTTTAGTTCTGCCCACGTATTTTAGAATGGAAAAGGAACCGGAACAGGATACACATCAAAATGTTTCCAGTTTGCCCGAGGCCTGCAATCCATTTATGGCCCGCCGCTGCCTGCAGCTTTCCGTAATGGCACCCGTTAACGCACATTACGCGCTGCTCCGAAATGAGGTCCTGAGGATCTTCCAGGAGCAGCGTATCTACGAGCATTTCCGCAAGCTCAGAAACTACTTCTTCCTGTTGGATTGTCAGTTTGGAGCTTTACTCACGAGCGATATTCTAGGAAGAATAAGGGCGGGCATTGAGCCACGCAGTCTTTGCCAGAAGGGCATCCTTGATACCATGTTAACCAATGCGTTGGCGGCTTGCTCGGCGGATGAGACCACGGTATCGCAAAATCTCACTCTCAACTGTACCACCATCCCGGATACGCTGAATTTCCTGTCCGTGGAAGCCACTTCTATGCTAAGGCTGCACTGCAAGATTGATTGGCCCTTGAACCTGGTGATCAGCTCGGAGACGGTTTCAAAATATGGCCAGATCTTCGGGTATCTGCTGAAGCTGCGTCACGTTAGTTTCGTGTTGGAGGGAACCTACGAGTACCTGCAGCAAATGGGCAAACTTCTTGGACCGGAGCTCCGGACATGTGCCCATTTCCGACACCTGCAGATGATGCGCCACAAGCTGTCGCACTTTATGACCTCGTTTCAAACGCATCTGGTGGCCAAAGCCCTGCAGTCAACCTGGAAGAGCTTCAAGGAGGAGTTGTGCACAGCCGATTCTATTGAGGGGATGTACAAGCAGCATGTTGCCTACTTGAAGCAGGTGGCCTTCCTAGCACTGTTAAATCGGCGCAGTGCTAAGGTCAAGGAAACCATTGATAATATCCTAGTGATTATACTTCGTTTTTGCAAGTAAGTTAACGTCTGAAATAGTCGGCAACTTCATTTCATTCTACATTTAAATTGAAACCATTTTCAGGGTCCTTCAGTCGCAGTCTTTTATTATGGATCAAGATAATCACTTTGCGCATCCCCGCTTTAAACGCCTGCAGCAGGAGGAGACTGAGTTCGAGAAATTCATGCAGTATCTGATCTATTTGGGCAACAAGGCGGCCGCTTCTGGTTACCAGGAGGAAATCGGTGACCTGATTTGTATTATTAATTTTAACAACTACTACAAGGTATCTGAAAACAATTCTGGTTCTTAAATGGAATATAGAAAGTGCTAGCCAATAATTGGTAGATAAGGAATTTCTCTTGCCATTAAGCTGAGCTTAGACAATTTTAAAATATTAATGCATGCATGGCGTCTCTTAAAAGTTAAGCTTCGGTACAGAAACTGAACTAATAAAGGCAACCGCCTTAAATTTGTTTTTTTTTTTGTTAATTTTGGTAAACAGTTTTGTTGTGTTAATTTAATATTAACTTTCAAATAATCGGCTCATTAAAAAAAAAAATTTATTTAGTTCGTGTTTTAATTAAATTCTGGTCAAATAGCGAAAAAAAAAAAAAATAAAAAATAACCTGTATCCATATCATTAATATATTTTTGTTAAATGTTTAAGGAAAACAATCAACAATCAACAAAATTGAAATTTTTAAAAATTGTCATGTAATTGTAATTATGTCGAGATAAATTCTTGAAACAGTTGATTCGAATTTATAAATAAATGCGCTTATGAACGGAAGTCTTACTATATTTTTAATACAATAAGAATAGTGAAATTCTGATTCTTTTAAATAGGCGGATAATTTTTCGTTTTAGCTTCATGCACGTAACATATCGCTTACGCTACCATCTCTAAGTGACTGTGCGCATACAATGTATCGGTATTCGCTCCAGCCCTGGTCATGAGTCACTTCATGTAGAATATTTCAGTTTTATTTTTAGTTTATAAAACGCTGCATGCGATTTGAAATTCTATAAATTTAAGTAATTTATTTCATCGAATTATAATCAATAAAAATGCAGGTAAGATGGGTTGTCATAAGCAATTGTAGTTATTATCCGAACGACAAAGTTTCTGCAATTGGATAAATATGAATGTGTGTGTGTTTTGATGCATCCAAAAATAAACTCCATATTTGGTATTGAAAATGATGAATGAAATAAAACTCACGTGGCCTTGTTCTCCGTAGGACCCAAACGAAGATACCGAGTGGAATGATGTGCTCCGTGCCAAGGGAATCATTGGGCCCAAGGCAAAGGAGGCGGAGATCACGGAGGATCAGATTCAGAAGCTGATGGACGATGCCATCCAGCGGCGCACAGATCTTCCACTGAATGAAGGGCAGCGGGACAAGAAGATCGATGACATGTCGCTGGACGAACTCGACGAACTGGAGGACTCCGAGGACGAGGCTGTTCTAGAGCAGTATCGCCAGCGACGCATCGCCGAAATGAGAGCCACCGCCGAAAAGGCGCGATTTGGATCTGTCCGCGAGATCTCCGGGCAGGATTATGTGAACGAGGTGACCAAGGCCGGCGAGGGTATTTGGGTGGTCCTCCACCTGTATGCCAACGGAGTACCGCTGTGCGCACTCATCCACCATCACATGCAGCAGCTGGCCGTCCGCTTTCCGCAAACCAAATTCGTACGCTCCATCGCCACCACCTGCATACCGAACTTCCCCGAAAAGAACCTGCCCACCATCTTTATCTACCACGAGGGATCGCTGCGCAAGCAGTACATTGGTCCACTGGAGCTGCGTGGCGACAAACTGACCGCTGAGGAACTGGAGTTCATGCTGGGCCAGGCAGGCGCAGTTCCCACCGCGATCACGGAGGATCCACGGCCGCAGATCAGGGACAAAATGCTCGCCGATCTGGAGGACAAAAGTTCGGACTTTTACTGAGTCATAGCCCAATCATACTTCTCATCCAACTTCGTGATCAGTAGGGTGGGTAAATATTTTAGAATGAATCATCACGTAAAACCCAATCTAAGCCCGGCATTTGGATCTTTTATGCGGATTCACTTAACTAACAAATCAAGCTTTTAAACGTAAGTTTACATTAGTAGACTTCACTTGAAACGTAAATATCCGGTGTTTAGAGCGAATATTATTGATTTACATATTACCCAGTCCTCAAGAATTTTCATGGACGTTTTCATTTCATTGTGTTGTGGTATTTAAGTACCCTCATCAATAAATTGTTTACTTTTCTACTGAAAGTCACTTATGATTTTGTTTGGTACTGCTAGCTGTTGCTTTTGCCACGCTTTTTGGTTTACCTCGGAAAATGTTCGGATCGATGATGTTGTACGGATGCTCGCAGGCGGGATTCAGTACTCGTCCACGTCGTGGCTCGTGCTCCTCAAGGAGATGAGGTGCCAGCAGAAGAAACAGCTGCTCTGTCCAAGAGGGCAGGCCACAGGTGGAGAAGCACAGCTCCCAGTACGGCAATCCCAGGTGCGCTATGGCCATTCGAAGGTATTCACTAAAGGTGTCCGCCAAAAACTGCCAGCTGAGGGTGCTCAGCTCCAGCAGATAGAACTTGGGATTGTTGGAACTCGTGGATTCGTACAACATACACACCTATCAGAGGAATATGAGCCACAAAATATTCCATCAATTCTTGTTCTCTTGCGCCTGGACTTTAATAAACTACCCACCTTGGCCACCTCGTTCACGTTGTTGATCTCAAATATTTTTGACTTGGCTGTTATAATAGGCGTGGCATTGCCCCACTTGTCTTTTCCGGTGGCAATCGGAGCTGGAAGGGATTGTGAACTACCGGTTGCTCCCACCACATCCGAGTTGCTATTGGGCAGAGCCGAATTGCTGGAGTGGCTCGACGTTGTTTCTATGTTCTCCCGCAAAAGAGTCACCTGGAGCAAGTGCGGAAAGTGGATGTGGCCCACGCGCCTAATATCGTTAGCTGGAATTAAAGCGATATATGTACAAAAGAAACCGAAAGCTACCGAGACCCAACTCACGAGCATACTGGTAACTCCAGTTTAGGATAAATCCATCCGACGATAGGTAAAACTTCTTCATATCTTCCGGGAGGTAGACGCAGTGTCTCTGCTCCCAATTAACCACCTGGCAGGCATTCAGGGGTTGTCGTCGCTCCAACGTCACATTACATACCCTCAGCACATTGGCTGAAAATTTTGGAGGACCCAGTCATACACGACTTCAATCTTCTGATGGTTTCATACTCACAGAGGGTTCTTATCAGACCAAGGGTCAAATTTTCATAAAATGCATCTTCTGGCGAGAGCTTCTTGTTCATCATCAAATAATTTATGTCTCAGAATAAATTCTGTTAAATTTACACGTCAGACTGTTTTCCACATATATAGACAAGCTGTCACGGCATAAACAAAGTCATGTCGGATTGGTTGTTGTGGCAACGGTGCGGATGGTTGATGCCTCTGAGTTCAAAGGTAACACATATTAAAGAATCAAAAAATGCTGAATATCAAGAACTAAATACTCACTTAAATGGTGATGCAAAGATTGTACAAACAAAATCTATTCAGTTTTCAGACAACATTGAAAATAATTTATTTACATTACTTATTTTGCGATTAACCAACAACTATAAACTGTGGAGCTTTGACGACAATTACACATAAAGTACCATGATTAAATGAATTGGTAAAGGAGACGAGTATTGGTATTTGAATGAGGATAATCTGCTGCTGCTGCCTCATCTCTTGTTCTGATCCTGGGCCTCACTCTCGGCCTCTTCCTCGTGTCAGGAAACCTCCCAAACCGTGGATTCCACAGACCTTCGTGGACGGGCGGCCACCTCCACGTGGGCGTCCAGTCCATCGCTTAGCCGACTGAAACGGCGTGCCCAACTGCCTCGGGCAGTGACCGTGCTGCCGCCCATTGACGCCCGGTTGCTGGTGTCTCGGAACAGACTCATAATGTCCTGGCTGTCGCCCTGAGCCCGCTTGATGCCGTGCTGGTACTTGGCCTCCTTGGCCAGCAGCTGCTCCCGCTGCATTTGGGTCTTCACTTCGGATGGAACATCCGGAATGATAAACTGCATGATGCCAGTTATCACAAATACCACGTGCTGCAAGTTCGAAATACTCGTATTAGTTCATTATCGTGGGATATATGGGATTGCTATTTATGGGACCCACCTCAAAAACCACCACGAAAGCCAAGCGGGCAGCAAAGACATGCCAGTAATGGGGACTCAGTCCATAAGGCTCGTAATCCTTTGGGCCATTTCTGAATGGATGCAAGTCAAGTGGTGCACAACCAAAGGTGTAGTTGTAAAAACCTACCTGTAGCCCCGATATTGGCAGGTGTCGGGATCTTTTTCGCTAACCGAGGCACCCCACTCCTCCTTGTAGTCCGACGTATTGAAGATGGACAGCGAGTGCTCGATGTAGCCAGCCAAAGTGTGGGTTTCGGAGTAAACAAACTTGTACACCATTCGTGGTATAAAATCACTCGTGTAGGCAATCACAAAGGCGTTCGAAACGACGGCCGTGTAGGTGATGATCCGAAGAATACCGTACCAAGCTCCAATGTCCTCAACCCGCTCCGCCAGGGGACGTCTGGCCTGCGTGACCATCTTGTAGGCATCCAAACGGATCTCGGCCACGTTGTTCAGTAGGGCAAACAGCGGTGCCAGTGGAAAAGCAGCCACAAACAGAGTAACAAAGCCGTATTGAAGAACTGGTGGCAGTGGAGTGGGCTTAACAATTATATATGGATATCAAATATACTATAAGGTGCTCACTCATTTCCAGGTACTCATCGAACAGGGCCAGGCGTCCTGGATCCTGCATATGGTAGTCCTGCTCCCAGGCCATATGCAAATGTGACTCATCCTTGGTGGCCTAAAAAGATCTTGATTAACATTCATTTCAATGTACCCTTACCACTACCCACCTGCTTGTGCTTCCGCTGACGCCACCAGTTCCAAAACTTGGGAAAAAGGTACTCCATGAAGTTGTTCCAGCACTGTTTGCCGACCATTATGATGGCCAATTGGATGCACAGCTCGGATAAGCAACCCGCCGGATCGCAGATATCATTCTTCAGCCGGAAGAACTCACTTTTGCGTGCCTGATCATCTCCTGGATAATCAAAGAACCGTCCCTTGAAGAATGCAATATATATGAGTGAAGAATAGAAGTTCATGAACTCGAAGAAGAATATCTTGAAAGTATAGGAGTCCTCGTATTCCGTGTGTGTGCGCGGATTCTCCAGATTGGTCAGTTTGATGGCCATGCGGTGGTAGATCTGGAAGGTACATGTTTTTTATTTGCTAGTTCTGAATTGCACAATCCGCAAATGTGGCCCTACTCGTGTTAGTATCATAATGACCACCAAATTGATTAGGGCAGCCGTGACACTGGTAAAGAGTTTGGCGTGCTCCTTAACAAAGAACCCGCCTCCTCCATAAATAACAGACACCAGGGTTATGCGATACAGAATGGTGCCCAGCACGGCAGAGAGGACCACAGATATCTGCAAATAGTGCGAAACTCTATACTCGTATATCGTAAAATTAAATATAACCAATAGTATCTCACCATGAAAAGCACTGCACTACCGGTAATTACAAATCGTATGGACCTGTTCCAGGTTGACATGTACGGTTCCTTTTCCCGCGTGACAGGATTCATGCGAAATGTGGTGGCATTCGTCTCAAATTCTGGACGGTTCTCCTCGTCCATATCGACGTTGTGCAAGTCCCACTCCCAGACAAGAACCGATTGCTTGCGTTTCCAAAGCTCCAGGAATGTGGTCGCTGATAAAAGATACAAATGAAAATCAAAACTTTGCTATTGCAAGTATCGCTATTTAAGATTCAATGAGGAAACGATTGAAATTACTTTTAGTAATTTAGAAATAAAATAACAAAGGTACAATTTTAAGCCCGGATTTCACGATACCTACCCCAGAAGGACATGAAGATGGCGAAGAATACCGTCGAGGGATTGTCGAAGAGATAGGTGAGCCGTGAAAAGAGGCACGATTCCGAGAGTCGTTGGTAGCTGCATGCCTTGTCGCAAAGTGGACACAAAGTAATGTTCCCCGTGCCGTATTCATTGCAAATCTCCTTGCTGGGCGTGTTGTCCTCCGACTCCAGAGTGGCCAGTCCGTAGATGAAGCAGAGGGTGCCCACCACGGACGGATAGACGAGCATCTCCGTGTAGAATCCCAGCCAGCAGAAGTACAGGGCGATCTTGTCGCCGAAGTACTTGCGCACCAGGCACAGCGGCTGCTTCTTGTACCACTGGGAGGGATGGGCCCACGTCTGGTAGAGAACCCGGCGGTCCAGCGAGATCCCGCTGGAGTGCGGTCGATCGTACCGCCCCTCGTGCAGCGGGAAGCAGCCCAGGTAGGTGCCGTCGTTTATCAGCCGCCGGATGCCGCTACGGTCGCTCTCGTCGAAAGGGGTGCGGATGAGCACCTGCATCACCATCAGCGATCGTTGGGCACTGGTGAAGGCAGTGGCGCGGTCCTTGACAATAAACCTGAAGTGGGCGAAATAAAATGTCAAATAAATTATTCATTTGGTACAACTATATGACGAGATATATTGATATACACGTATAATTAATATTTAATTTAGTAGGCATGTGTTTCGGAATCATGTGCTTGGAAATCATAAAAACTTGGCAATTTAAAACAAATGCATCTAATTTTTTAAACCAGTCCACTTACTGCTCCTCCGGATTGCCATTAGCTGTTGCAGCCTTAAATGTAGTCTCTCCCTCCAGAAGGGTTTGGTCCAGCTGAATCTTCTTGGTCAAGCGCTGCCACACATTCTTCCAATATTGCATATTCCTAAGTACAACATTCTCCTCGTCCTTTAAATAGGAGTTTTCCTTCAGATAATTTGTAATTGAATACCATACCGAAATGCTCACCCAAGATGGTTTTACGGATATGGTGATGAATCTTCTCACGGGCAGCTTCAGATTCATGACCTCAGCCAGTCGTGTTTCCAGCCGCCATGGCAGATGGATCTTCAAAAAGAAGGTCTTTTCATTGAAGGACTGCGACTTGTCCTCCAGCTCGACCTCGAGTCCCTCCTTCATGAGGTTCTCCATGAAGGAGCGTCGGTTATCGCGACGCTTGGCCTCCGCCTCAGTCATGACGCCCAGGTCCTCCTCCTCCCAGGCCAGCACCATGTCCACTTTCCGCCTGCCATCTCGGAACATCAGTGACTCCGGATCCAATCCCTCCCTATCCTGTTTGCTGACCCTTCTCTCGTCTCCAGACTCGCCGCCCAGGCTGTTGCTTTTGCTGGCCTTCCGACTGCCGTAGTAGCTTCCACTTACGGAACTGGTTGTGTCCGAGGCCTTTCTTTCCGTGGGAATAAGTTGTCGATAGCCGAATTGGTCGGGTAAAACGTTGGAGTGCGAGGACTCCATTATCTCATAGGACTGATTCACTCGGTCGGCGGAGCCCAGCGTGGGACTCAAGTTCAGACCCAAGTTTCTCCGCATGGCGGTGCCAGGTATATCCTCCTCATTATTCCCAACTATCTTGGGCCCAAAGGCCTGCGTGGGACTCGGTTCCGCGGACTCCGCTTCCAGATGCGTTGGCAGTGGCATGGCTATCGAGTTGGATTTGGGGAACAGGGGATTGCCATTGCTGGTCCGCATCACCGACGAGTTTAGCCACTTTTCCGTGTAGACAGCCGATCCGGCCCGGGCCCGACTGGCACTTAGCTTGGATTTGGGCGGAATCGGAGTGGCGGGCTTGTTTGGGTTTTCCAACGAACCATTATGGCCCCCCTGGCAGCTATAGGCGTTATCTATCGGATCCGATTCGACTTGCCTTGGCTGCAGATCGGAGTCAATTAAAGCCCCCTCCTGTCGTTACACATTCAAGGTTCAGTAGCCTGGAAATGCTAATTCAATGTCAAACTCACCCCGTATCCCATTAATCTTCCTGCCACAATGCCACTATCCTGGCTAAGTCTCCGTGGTCGCGGCTTGGTCTGACTTCGGCGGCTCATGCGCTCGCTCTTGGCGGGACTGGACATCACCTGCCTGGTGGTGGACGGTTCTGGGGATTGTCGTGGGCTTCGCAGCGTTGGCACCGAAAGGAATCCTGAAGGGGGAATGGTCCAAGCCATCGGTTGAGTAAGAACATTTCATAAGAACCATTCCATACTATAACTTAGGAACGTTAATAGTTGCTACTCACTGGGAAACTGAAAGACCGACTGCTCGCTGAACCTGTCGCTCTCCCGGGCTGCACTACCAATAAGATCCTCCCGTGAGTTGGACTCCGTTATGGGGGCGGTGCTCTCATCCTCGACGCTGTCGATGCGGATCTGAAAGATGTGTGACCTCTCGTCGGACCTTCCTTCTTGACTGCTCATCGTCTTCTCTCTATGGCGTCATGGAATTCTGTGGATGGGCGGCAGGTCATATGGGGCCACTTTCTAATTTGGCCTAGTTTGGAGCACCTGCTCCGTTACCCATGATAAACTATTTAAAGTGACAAGTTCGGAAACTTGCGGGGAGCCATTCGTGGACTGTCATTCAAGACTTGTCGTAGCAGCGCATACTTTCATACTTTCATACTTTATCCCCCGATATTCCAATGGGTCCAATGGGTCCAATGGGTGCATTAACTATTCATGTATGTTTATACTACTGGCCTCGGGCAGGCCGTTAATTTATACCCTAAGAGTATTTGTATCTTCATTTGCAAGCGCGTTCCAATCAAAAGGTGAACTCGGGCACGCATTTGACATTGACCCGTGGAAGGTGTTTGTATAGCCCGACAGGGCTATCATTGGTTAGCAGTGGGTTCGTTGGGAGAAACTAGAGCCATTGGGACTAATGCCTTCACATTTGCTTTAGTGCATTGTGGGAGCGAGTCCAGTTGGGTCGCCAAATGGCCAAATGCTTAGTGGGGCAGCAAACTTGTTGCTACGAGTGGTGACCACTTTCCCAGGCGGGCGAATGACAATAGTTCTAAATAATTGCCCTAGATTTGGTATTGGGATATGTGTAGTACCTGTAGTACCATGTGTGGATGTGGCAATGTGGGTGCTGGTCAGTGGATTGCCGTTGGCCGACAGACAAATAAATCCAACTCGTACCTGGATCACTAATAAGCGTGCGACGGACGTCCTGGAAATGTCAGCGTTCGTTGGCAGTTGTGAAAAGTCCCATGCCATTGAAGTAATCACAACAATTGAAGGTTTATTGATTTGCTCCTGTCGCCTTCAAGCACTGCTCGCATATGGATAATCGATTATTGATTGCCGTTTCTATTCACATGCAGCTGGGGCTCACTACTTTAATTGTTTGGTATCGCCTTATCACTTTCGCAATAAAGATCGCTCAACTTAAGATCTGCCGGCCACTTCACTCTGGCGCAGAGTTCACAGCTCGAACTGGCCCACTATTATTGATTTTGTGTGGCTTGTAATTATTATCTTTCAATCAAGGTTCACATTATCCAAGCACACGCTCGCACGTCCATCCTGACCACTTCCAGTGGCCATTTACTCTGACCCTATACGCTCTGCTCACGGCGTACCGCTCACCACGACGGCTCCCGACCGATTGACCGACCAGGAGCTATGACCCTCTGGCCAGGACAGTGACACTCAGGGACAGATAGCTATTCACAGTACGAGTAGTACTCGTGGTCGTGCCTCTCGCGATGGGTGGTGGACTTTTGTGGGAGGAGGACTGATTGTACCTACGTGGAAGCCCGTGGAGGCGCATATTAAGTGTCCGGGTCCTATGGGACTTTTCAAGGTTCGGTTAAACTATAATTCATCTGAGTGGTAAATCATCTGAGATCGAAAATAATGCATATACAGTCGAATGCAAGTATACTTGGATAGAAAGTACTATATCCGAAACGCTTTAATGATGGCATTTTAATGATTTAAGCAATGATGATTAAGCTAGGACGAAGTGATGCCATTATGTTATAGAACTTTCTGCTCATTTGAAAAAGTACCTTTCCCATTACAATCTGCACTTTCCCATCACTGACCAAACCAAAGCTCACACCCATTCTAAAGAGGTATGTGGCACATACGGACGCCACTTTTAACACGAATATCCTATTAATATGGTATTTGACTCGCTGTTGCACGAGGTTCTTCGTGATGACTTTCTAATTTTAAATTAGGCCGACCACCGAGCCCGCGTATTCTGACCACAATATTGATAGTTGTGAGTGACGTAGTTATTCATAGGGTCCTACATAGGTCCTATATAGGTCCTATGGTCGTCATGGCGTTTTGACTCCTATACATGGAATAGAGGTGGAGAGGTTGACCTATAGACAACATTTACTGGTGGCTCGAATGAAGCTATCCCCTGGGAACCCTGAACAACGCACCCTTCATGATTACCCGGTCAAATTCGTGACCATAAAAATAGAGTGGTTTGCGACTTTGTCAGCTACTCGTATGGTGTAAGTACTATTATTGTGTGGCTGTGAATCTATTTTGATTGAATGCACGTCATTAATAAATTCAGAACCCTTGCCGTATTTGGTTATTTTCGGGGTAGGTACGTGCTGATTTCGACGTTGGTCGGTCTCCTTTGTTTTGGATTGACAATTTCGTTTAGTTAGTACAATACAAGTGAGATTCCAGAATGAAGCTAGGCAGTTGACATTTATTGGTCTTCTGTGTTGCGTCATGAGCTCAAATTAGAAGTCTTTGGTCAGTTTATGTGGCCTCCTATAGCAACATACTCGTATTTAGGGAATTGAGTGCTCTGCCCAGTCGGGTATAATCCTCCTCCCTCATGCAATTGCTTTTTTTAGTAAATGTATTTAACCACCACCATAAGATAGACTTAACTTATTAGATCAACATCATTCATTTAACCCTGATTATCGGCGATGATAACGTCGTCTGCTTCACTTTTACACTGTTGCAGGACATCCACTTCGCAGCTGCTGGTCACCCGGCTGAAGAACTCACCCTGGGCGCACTCGCCGTCGATCTGCTGGCCATGAACGCAGGTGAAGTAGCCCCGGCAGTTGTCCGCATCCCGTGCCAGTTGTCCGTGCTTTCCGTTGCAGACTCCCACTCTTTCGCCGTTCTCCAAGAGGCAGGTTCCATCGCTTTGTCGACAGATTCCCAGAAGGCTGTCGAAACTCTCGCCATTGCGACATCGCTGGGAAACGGGTTCATCGTCCTCGCAACTGGTATACCTTCGGCAATCACCCTGTTCCGCCACGGAGGCACCATTTCCGATGACTCCACATATGCCGACAAAAGAGGTGGGTGCATCCTTGCAGCTTCCATTTGTAACTGCGCTCTCCTGTCTTCCAGGTTCTATCTGCCGCAATTGTAAGGGACTTTCTGTCTGGTTATTCCCATCAGAGGTCATCTCATAGGGCTGACACTGCTGCAATGTGGCATTGAAGAAGTGGTCCGTATAGCAAAGCTCATGCCGGAGTTTCCCAGAAACGCAGAGGTAAAAATTATTACAGTTGGCCGGATCGAGCATTATATACCCATGCTTGCCTTCGCAAACCACCGGATCTGGAGGCACGTGCTGGTTGTTGGGTTTGTCATCATCATCGGGTACTGATTCCACCAGCGGACAGGAGCCGTCATCCGTAAGACAGAGTAATTGCGCCGAATCGAAAAAGGAGCCTGCAGCACATCGCTGAGCAGTGGCCACTCCTCCGGCACAGATAAAGTACCGAGTGCAGTCTGTCCGATTGGCCAGGAAGGTGCCGTCCTGCAGGTCGCCACAGCTATAAACGTAGCTTACGTTTCCATCCAGGTGACCGCTTGGACACGGCTGTACGGCCTGCGATTCCGGTTCGCACATGGACAGCACCGGATTAAATTGATGTTGTAGTGGGCACTCAACGGGAAAGGCTAGTCCCTTGACACAGGCGTAGTACAAATTGCAGTACCGCTCGTGAGGTAGTTTAGCTCCATGAAGTCCGGAGCACAATCTGGGTGCAGTTTCCGTGTCATCCTGATTGGGAACATTTCGACACTGGCCATGATCAGCGCGGCAAATGGAAAGCAAACTGTGGAAGTACTGACCCTCATCGCATTGCACTAGACTAGTTCCATTCCGGCGGGAGCAGCTGTAGTAGGAGCGGCAATCCTCCGGATGAGCCACCAGCTTGCCATCTTCTTGTCCGGAACAAATCGCCAGCTGGCAGGAACCATCATTCGGTCGGCAGTATCCCTGGGTGGAGTCAAAGAAGCTGCCAGAGGAGCAGCTCTGCAGGATGGTAGGAACTTGTTGCAGGCATAGGTAAAATCGAGTGCAATCTGTGGGATCGGGGACACTAAGCCCATCCATTTGACCCACACACCGGTTTTCCGCAGGAAGATCCCTTAGCTGAAGTTGGCACTGCGACTGCAACTGACACTTGTTGCGATTCCTAGCGAAACTGTGCCCCTTCAAACAGCTGCCCAGACGCCATTGCTCTGCCTCACAGTATAGGAATCCCTGAGAGCAGTTGTTCCCGAATTGAGCCTGAAGTTGCCCCTCCTGGCAGATGCGTCGCATCCCATTGTCTTGACAGCTTCCATCGCTGGGCACACAGCCCAGCATGGGTTCAAACTGTTCCCTTTCCTGGCAGCGCCTCCTCCTCCACTGGCCACCCGAGCACAGTTCGTAGCTGTGGCAGCTGCCCACCACGGATCTGCTCTCTCCGTTGGAGCAGTTTCCTCTCCGCTCTGCCGGCAGGAAGCACATCCCCGCATCATTGGGCAGGCAGTAGTTGTGCTGCCGACTGAAGTACATGCCCAAGGGACACTGGTGCAGCCACCAGGAGTTGTCCAGGCACATCAGGTAGCTCTGACAGCCGCCCGCCAAAGAGGGACGCACTGCCAGGTGCTGGCAATCTTCAGAGGTATTACCAGCTTGCTTGCTCATCGCCCAATTGCAAATAGTTTGATTCCTGTCCTGCTCATGACCCCGCGGGAATGGCAGACACGATTCTATCAACGAGGAGTAGTAGTGCTGTCTCGGACAGTTGCGCAGTCGCCATTTGCCGCCGGAGCAGCGGAAGTATTGCAGGCAATTGCCGCTTTTGGCCGGAATCGTCAGGGATTCGTTGATGCTGCTGCAGGTCGGTACATGGGATACCCTTGCGTAGGCGCAGACCAAGTCATCACGCGGTTCCAGGCATCTCTGCTGCTCCGGATTGTAGTATCGCTGGTCGGAGCAAGTGCGTCGGCGCCAGTGACCATCGACGCACACCTCGTACTGGGAGCAGTTCGCTGGTACCGAGCGCTTCTCATCCGAGATACATGTCTGGAACGGAAGAAGGAAAATGGAAGATAAAATCAGCCCAGTTTATCACACACAATAGTGAAATATTGAATTTCGTTAGCCGACTATGCCCTTTACATCAAACTTTTAGATTTTTTTTCTGAAAGACGGCCATATCCACATGTTCCATTCTATAGCCACACAAATAAAAAGCCGAAATGTTTGTAATTCATCTCTTTTGAATTTATTGTAGCGCATATATGGTTAGGGTTAGAGTACAATATTGGGTATTAATACGTATAGAAGTGGAACAAGCGGAACATTCACAAACAACATAACTCATAAATAACAACTAAGGTCGTAGGATAATGTATATAAGAGTAAATAGGCAGCTAGCTCAAGGCTGGCCTAGAAGAGTTTTGGAAAGAATTTCTTGAACAAGTTCAGGGACCTTACGTTTTCCTCCGACTCCACGGAACGCTTCTGGATGCTGTGGCTGTCGCAAGTACCGAGTTCCGGAACAAAGGTTTCGCCCTCACCGCAAGGATGATAGGTGACACTAACGCGCCTCGTATCGTCACAGGAGCAGAATCCGGACCTGGTGTTTTCGGCGGCAAAAGGCTCGTATTGGCCCCGCCTCAGGCACTCCTTCAGGTTGCAGGAGATCATAGCCGTGGCTTCCTTCTCGGCCTCGACCACACAAGTTCCCGCACTCGAATCGTAAATATGTTCATCCGCACAACGGATGAAGGTGGACACGCCCACATCCTGGCAGCTGCAGTATCCATTCGTCGTATTTAATGCTGCAAAAGTGGAAGTGGCGCGACTGCCGCATCGTCTGTCATCGCAAAGGCCGAACTGACCGATATTGGCGGCAGAAAGGCAGGTTCTCCGAAAACTGTCATAGCTCTGGTCCCTGAGGCACCTCTTGAACACAGGAGCTCCGCTCACGCACAGGCAGAAGCCTTCAGTCGTATTCAGAGCCGCGTATGTTTTGTACTCATCCGAGCTGTCGCACTTACCCGGCTCACAAACGGACACGGATGCCTAGGAAGTGTTTAGAAAGTGAGCGAGTTATTTATTTATTTAGCAGCTGAATCCTTTTACTTACAGCCTGAACTGCGCAGCGTCCCTCCTGCTCATCGAACACCATTTCGGGGCTGCAGTGTGCCAAGGCCACCACCCCCATCTGGCAGTAGCAGAAGGCAGCATTTTCATGGCCGCCCGCGTTTTTTGGGAAGGGCACGTTATTGCCCAAGGTGGCGCATAGGTCAGCATCACACAGGGCGCGCGCACTGGCATCCTGAAAATATTACTACATTAACCCCAAGTATCTGGATATCTGGCGGTAATTTCTTACCGCAACCGCTAGGCAAGCTCCCATGGTGGGATCAAATTCCTCGTTTTCCTCGCATGCCCGATAAGTGGGAAGGCCGCCAATACAATAGCAGAAGCCATCCGTTCCTTCGTTGGGCAGATATGGTGTAAAGTCCGGAGTGCTTTCACATTTTTGAGCATTGCACTTGCTGGCAATACAAGGATCCTGGAGGGAAAAGATCAGTTTTTAGGGTTTTTAATATCTGTATCTTTTAAATCGAAAACTGGCACCACCCACCTCTGCTTCCGTGCAAATATTTAGATATTCGTCATAGACCTGACCTTTGGAACAGGTTTTATAGATGGGGCAGAAGTTGTCGCAGTAGCAAAATGCGGAGGGATCACTCGAAACAGGGAAGGTACTGTACTCCAGAGCGTCCTCGCAAATATCGGCATCGCAAGCATTCACAGGGCATGTGGTTTCCTCCTGCAAATATAAATTAGAGGGGCTTCAAACACGGCATTAACGATGGCTTACCCCAGTGGAGATGCAGGCACCTAGCTCGGCATCGAATTCGGCGTTCTTCGGACAAGTTTTGTACTTGGGAACCTCGGCCACGCAGAGACAGAAGCCATCGGTACCCTCATTGGCCGGAAAAGTTGAGAAGTCCGTCTTTCCTACGCAGCCATTGGCGCAGCAACGTGGCTGTAAGGGTATTTGGAATACATAATGAACTCATGTCTGTATTTTCGGACATTTCGGACGGCTCACATCTGGCAGTGGAATGAGGACGCACTCGAGGTCCTCGCTACTGAAAGTGTAGCCAATGGGACAGGGAACTGAGATGGGATCTCCAGCGCGGCACAAGCAGAAGCTGTTCTGGTCCTCGAAGTCCGGAGAGACGTAGAAATCCAACTTGCCGGTGCAGACCCGGGGATCGCAGTTTCCGGACTGTAATAGGGAATGAAGGGATTGTTGTTGAAAACATGTAGGTCGCCACATTTGTCGCCGACTACTTACGAAAGTGCAGGCTCCTTCAGCTTCGTCGTAGAACAATCCGGCTGCACAGGACTTGATATATCCACCATCTTCCTCGCACAGGCAGAAGGTCGAGGAATCCTTGTTCTGAGAAGGATACGTCCAGTTCAAAGTGGTAGCGTTGCAAACGGTCTGATCGCAATCGGTCTAAATTTGTTGAAAAGAACAAGGTGTTAATTGATGAAGACCAGATGATGACAGAATCACTTCTGTTCCAAGTGATACTTAGGGATCTATTCTCAGGGAGTATTGAAGACGAGTATTGTTGCTGTCATTTAATTGGCTTAACTTACGCTGGGTTGGGGCTGGCATATGCCCAGGTCGATGTATACTGTGTTGGCCGGGCAGGATTCTATAACGGCCTCGTGGTCAAGGCAGACGTAAAACTGGCCATCTTCTCCGGCGACTGGGTAGGTGGTTCCATCACTGGCGGTGGCGCACTTTTTGGCGGAGCACTCCACGGTAGTGGAGCACTGGCCGGTTGCTGAATCAAACGCCTCTCCAGAGGCGCAGTCCACCACTTGGGGCACTCCGTCCGTGCAATGGAAGTATTTGGTACAGATGGGATGGGCCACGTTGCTGTCGCCGTTGCCGTTGCCGCCGCAGGAGGTGCATGGGTTGATGCACTTGCCAGTCACATCGATGGCACACATACCATCGGCATTGTACCACTCACCGGATCCGCAGGTGTGCTTCGTGGCCTGGCCATTCCAGCACGTAAAATAGCTGGTGCAGTCGATCGCACTGGCCATCTGGTAGCCATTCGGCTTGTTGGAGCATATCCAGCAGGTGGCCTTGGTGTCCGGAACACAGGTGCCGCTGGAACTCTGAAAGACATTGCCAAAGCCGCACACACCTTCCACCAACTCTCCGTTCTCGCAGATCAGGTACTTATCGCAGTCGGTCGAGTGACCTACAATGGCTCCCTGCTTGATGCCTCCCTCGCAGGTGCAGTCCTCCACGCTCCTCTTCTGGCGCGACCCACTCGATCTGTTCTCCGGGCAGACATTGTCGGTATCCTCGCGGCAAATGCCAACGGAGGCGTTGAAGTAGGTGTTACTGCGGCAAGTGCCATCCTGCCACTGGCCATTGATGCAGGTCTGGTAGGTCCAGCAGTTCTTTCCACTGGCTGGAGGGTCTCGGGCATTGCACTTGCTAATGGCAATAGCGGTTGAAGTTGTGGGACGCTGTGTTGAGGTGCCCGATGCATTAATGCACACATTGTTCACATCCACTTGGCAGCAGCTCAGAGTGGCATTGAAATAACTGCCACTATCACAGGACACGGAAGTCCAGTCGCCGCTTTGGCACTTGAAGTACTTGGTGCAGTCCTGGGGATCCACTTGAGCATCTCCCTCCGTGCAATCCGCCACGCAGCAAGTGTTGTCTGCGTCAACCTGACAAACACTGAGCGTGGCATTGAAGAAGTTACCCTTGCCGCAATCCCCGGCCTCCAGGACACCATCAATGCAAATGAAGTACTTGCGACAGTTATCTTCGTCGGGAATGAAGTCGGCGTTCTTTATATCACCGCAATCGCCGGATGCCGGAGGCTCCGTGGTCACCTCATCACAAGGTTCAGTGGTGGTGGTTGTGGAGTCATCGCATGGTGCCTCCGTAGTGCAAGTGCCGGGAACACAACCCCAGTTGTTGTCCTCAAAGTAGCTTCCTTCGGGACATTCTTGAGCGGTAGCCGTATTGTTGAAGCACACATAGAACATGGAGCAGTTGGACTTGTCGGCCACAGAGAACCCATTAGTCTGTCCAATGCAGAAGTTAACCCAGCACTGGGAGTTTCCTTCATCGACAGTGCAGGCATCAGCTGAGGTGTTGAAGAAACTGCCTTGGGGACAAGTCTGAAGAGTGGCCTCTCCATCGGAGCACTCATAGTAGCTACCGCAGTTCGCCTCATTGGGCAGATATGCACTGGTGGTCTGATTAATGCACAGGTTCTGCCAGCACGTGGTGCTTGTATCCGGTACGCAGGCAGCCTGGGTTTCATTGAAGTAGCTGCCCAAATCGCATTTCTGTGGATAGGCATACTGCTCGTCGCAGATGAAGAACTCGCCACAAGATCCACTCTTGGCTATGTAGGCTCCGTTCACCTCGGTGGAGCACACGTTGGTGGACTACAGAAGATCGGGTAGAAGTTATTTAGAGGAAGCGATAAATAAAATGGGACTGAATAAAACTCGAAAACCTACATCAGCAAGTGGAGCTATAAGACTCAGCTTGCACAGACCTCGTCCTGCGGTAATGCACTTGCCATTCTTGGGATTGTACTCCTTGCCCGGCGCACACGTCACCATGCGAACAGCGTTCTTGGTGGTGCAACGGTAGTAGGAGGAACAGTTCAAGGGCTTGGGCCAGTGCATCGGGAGCTTCCTAGTCCTCCGGTAGATACATTCAGGATCGGCGGCTCCAACTAGAGCAGCCACTGCAGTGAGTGCCACCACAGTGAGCAGAGTAGCTGGATACGAGAAAAGTAGAAACTAGAGTCCTGGTTACTCTTGGGGCACCACACACACTCACCTTTCATCTTGTCCACTTATTTTATTCCTCTTGTGATGATCGAGATGTACTCCGCATAATTGCCAAAAAGTTGCTGCCTTTTATATACCTCATTATTTTGGACTGGCAGACTCTAATTGACCCTTATCTCTGTCAATTACGTTGATCATGTTAGACATGGCCCTTTCGTGTCAGTCTAATTGAGATGTGAACTTTGGGCATTGTAGTTCCTAGAAGTCATCACCTATCGCAGTGTAACCACTCCCCAAAATTTGGTGTTCGGAATTCGCAAAGTTGTGAATGAATGTCACGAACAAGGTCTTGTTTCTCCCCAAGATCACTCAAAAGTTAAAGGGAAACCCATCTAGGGAAAATAACGTTTTTTGAGAGCACGCTATTATAATATATGTATTTTATTTGTCTAGGCACAGGACTTGTCGCAAGTCAGTTTGACCGAGTTCCAGTATAGATCACTTGGACAATCCATGACGAATCCTATATCCCCATCGCAGTGTATGTATAAATGGCAATCGTACGGATGCGGCAGGAACTGGACTCCTTGATGAGCTCGACAGGAGGCGTTCGCATCCACGCTGGGAGTTGTCTGGGTGGTTGGATTTGTCTGATCTGATGGATCGCCCGAGGATTCTTCGGGCTCATGCGTGGCAATTGATGTTTCTCTAGTGTGCTCTGCAGTGGAATCCGAAGTACCTTCAGTGGTCTCCCCCGTCGGTATCTTAGTCTCTTCAGTTGGTTCTAGAGTCGGTTGACCTGTGGGACCGTCAGTGGGCCGTCCAGTGGGATCCGATGGATTTTCAGTGGGTTCCCCGGTTGGCTCCGATTGCTCATTGGTGGAATCCGATGCACCTTCAGTGGTCTCCCCCGTCGGTATCTCAGTCTCTTCAGTTGGTTCTAGAGTCGGTTGACCTGTGGGACTGTCAGTGGGTTGATCTGATGGATTTGATGTTTCTCCAGTGGGGGGTTCTGTGGGATCCGATGTATTTTCAGTGGTTTCTCCGGTTGGCTCCGATTGATCTTTAGTGGAATCCGATGCACCTTCAGTGGTCTCCCCTGTCGGTATCTCAGTCTCTTCAGTTGGTTCTTGAGTCGGTTGACCAGTGGAACTGTCAGTAGGTTGATCTGATGGATTAGATGTTGCTCCAGTGGGCTGTCCCGTGGGATCCGATGGGTTTTCAGTGGGTTCCCCGGTTGGCTCCGATGGTTCATTGGTGGGCTCTACCGTGGGATCCAATGGATTTTCCGTTGGCTCCGATGGTTTTTGAGTAGATGTGGTATTAAATGGCGGTTCAGTAGGTGCTACTGTGGGCCTAGCAGTGGGACTCCATGGTTCATCGGTTGAATCCGATGGGTCCTCCGATGAGTCATCTGTGGGATCCCAGGGCTCATCCGTGGGATCATCAGGATCCTCAGTGGGCTTTGGTGAAACAGTTGGCTTGACACATTGTCTGGCACTGAGAGCAGTTGCTAGCAGCATAAGCTGCAAGGACATCAACATCCAGACCACTGAAACCCAAAAGCGTTTGTCTTTAATGTTAAAGAATAATATTCAAATTCTCCTCGAGTACTTACACTTCATTGCAGCGACGATTTGTGAATAACTTGCAGTATGCGGTGCATTTATAGCATTTCGAGCTGCATCTGATTCAGCCTTTAATTAGCATACAACAAGTCACTAAAGTGCTATTTTTATCACTATCTTGGGCAAACATGATAAGATTGCAATAACTTGATTGATAATGAATTCGAACTATTTAGTGGAGAAGGGAAAACAAATATAATTGGTTGAATAAAAACAAGATCGTAAAGCCCACAAAATCTATATGGAATGTTTTTAGTTCAGGCACGGATGCTCGTGTGTTATGGATACAATATATCTGCTTATAAGTATCCATTGAACTTACGGTTATCAAGATCTAGTAATTGACTTTTCAATTATTCGCGATAAGATAATGTTAAGGCAAAAAGCAGTTACAGAGATGACTCACAGAATCAAGTTGACAATCATTAAATTGATAAATGGAACTTAAAAATTTCTGTATAAAAGATATGTAATATTCACATATACATAGTTTATTTTCTAATACGTGCAAATATGTATCGATTTAATTAATAAATTGTTATTCTTATCTTTAAAGCTCGAAACAAAGGAAATACTATTAAAGTAAATCGTGTAAGTCAATTTGAAAATTTAAAGCACATCTTAAGGAAACTAAATATAATATACTTTTGTGGTAAGGGGCTTGCGAATCGCAGTTTATATGTTTCCGGATGCACTTGAGGTAACTAGGGCAGAAGTTTTATTTTCCCAGAACACTTAATGCTCGAGCGTTTGTAGTTAAGAATGGTCAATACTGATAACGCGTACTAATTAGGAATCGACAAGGAAATACCTAAGAATGGACACGTAAATAATCAGCCATATTAACAATAATAAATGTGTTATTGATCATTTTTTAGTATCCTACTAATTAAGAACAATATTGTAAGCTATTATTTACCTTGAATAAATATCATTAATTTGAAAATATGTATGATAATTGCTATAGCTTGTTGTGGTGCAGAGAGAATATTTCTATCGATTCATTTTTTGTAGAAACTTGGGAGGTAATAAATTGATCAAAGGATGTGAAGTTAATTTACTATGACTTATGACTAACAACACACGTGTAATCACAGTTGATTACACCGATAAATATTGATGATGATTAGTTCTGTATAACGTTGAGGAATATGCTATATAAGCACGGTACCTTAGTAAAAACTTTTACTCTGTCGGAACGTGTAATTTTAAAAACATGAGAGGTAGCTCCGTTTTTTCGCACCCTGAACCGAAAACCAATATCGCAATTTCTTTAAGGCTTTCAGATTGTTGGATTGCTTGGATTGTTTGCACTTCTTGTAAGTGGATCCACCTCGTCTGAAGAAGATACCATCATTGATCTAGCAACAGATGCATCTACCACTGAGGAGGATACTACGGAGGTTCCAGCCACAACACTACCACCTCCAGTCCTGTGTGCTGATGAAGATCTGTTTCTCCCAGCACCCGACTGTAGAGAGTATTATCAATGCCTGCACGGTGAGGGAATTTTGAAAATATGTCCGGAAGGCCTCTATTGGGACCGCGAGCTGAATGTTTGCAACTGGGACTCTCTGCATTGTGATGATGCCGAAGACGAGTCCACCAATCCACCGACCTTGAATTGCGCATCCGGACTACCATTTTTGCCCTATCCACCGGACTGCAATAAATTTATCCAGTGTGTCTACAACATTGGCTTTAAACTGAGCTGCCCGGGTGGTTTGTACTGGAACCAACCTCTTCAATCGTGTGACTATACCTGCGATAATACGATTGAGTTCTCGGGTGCTCACCAGGTGCAATAACCGCATATTGACGAGGAAGTATTTTGTAACACCCGAAAATGTACATTAAATAAAAGAAATAGCAGTACAACGTAATTGTTTTTCACCAGACGGCAATACAATTGAATTGCTCTTAAAGATAGCGGACTTCGCGAAAAAGATCAGATAAGATGTGGAATGGCTTTAATTGCTGTTATAAATATCAGTGCACAAAGCACAGGTATCATTTCAGCAAATGCTTCTGTGCAACTCGAACGTAAATCGGTAGTGATGAATATTAAGAAATTTATATTATGCGTTGTGGTGACAGTAGTAATTACAAAAGTAGTGTACGTAAATACGGAACATCAACAGGCTTTACACAACCTAAGCAATCAAGTCGATAGTGATACTCAGTCTACAAAAGCTCAGACAAGTGAAATAATTAACCACTACCACTTAAACAAAAACGACGATACGGCATCAAATCAGGAAACTGGCGTGCCATACTACTATCAAAGAAATATAACCGATCTTCCAAAAAACAAATCGCTACCGCTTAAAGCAGAAGGTACTAGAAATGACAGTTCGGGTATTACAGCACTATCAGGTGCAATAAGTAATAAACCTGACAACGCAACAGCTGTCAAAGACTCAACACCGATTCTTGACGAGTTTACTACAGTCGCCAATGAAACAACTAATGCTCCTAAGGGCAGTACTACGAATGAGGAAGATACAACGCTTGGGATCGAGACAACTACCAAAATTACGGGGGGTAATACCACGATGGAAAATACAACACCGATTCCTAACACATCTACTACAGTCGGTAAGACCACAACTAATGATCCTCAAGGGAACACCACGATTGAGGTTGACACAACTCTTGAAACTGAGACAACTACCGATAAGCCAGGTTCCGATACTACGGTGAAAGATTCATCAACGATTCCTGAGCAATCTACTACTCTCGCCCAGGATATAACAAAGCATCCTGAAGACAGCACTACGATTAATGATGACACAACTCTGGCAATCGAGACAACTACCGATAATCATGGGGATGACACCACGGTAGAAGATTCGACACCGATTCCAGATGCATCTACTACTATCGCCTTGGACACAACTAATAATCCGGAAGAGAGCACTACGATTAATGATGACACAACTCTGGCATCCGAGACAACTACCGATAAACCCGGAGCAGATACTACGGTACAAGACTCAACACCGATTCCTGAGCAATCTACTACTGTCGCCGAGGTCACAACTAAAGATCCTGAAGGTAGCACTACGATTGAGGAAGACACAACTCTTGCAATCGAGACAACTACTGATTATCCTGGGGATGACTCCACGGTAGAAGATTCAACACCGATTCCAGATGTATCTACTACTATCGGCTTGGACACAACTAATAATCCGGAAGAGAGCACTACGATTAATGATGACACAACTCTTGCAATCGAGACAACAACCGATAAATCTGTGGATGACACCACGGTAGAAGATTCAACACCGATTCCTGACGAATCTACAAATGTCGCCCAGGACACAACTAATAATCCGGAAGAGAGCACTACGATTAATGATGATACAACTCTGGCAATCGAGACAACTACCGATAAACCTGGAGCAGATACTACGGTACAAGATTCAACACCGATTCCTGAGCAATCTACTACTGTCGCCGAGGTCACAACTAAAGATCCAGAAGGTAGCACTACGATTAATGATGACACAACTCTTGCAATCGAGACAACAACCGATAAATCTGTGGATGACACCACGGTAGAAGATTCAACACCGATTCCTGATGCATCTACTACTATCGCCTTGGACACAACTAATAATTCGGAAGAGAGCACAACGATTAATGATGACACAACTCTTGCAATCGAGACAACAACCGAGAAATCTGTGGATGACACCACGATAGAAGATTCAACACCGATTCCTGATGCATCTACTACTATCGCCTTGGACACAACTAATAATCCGGAAGAGAGCACTACGATTAAGGATGACACAACTCTTGCAATCGAGACAACAACCGATAAATCTGGGGATGATACCACGTTAGAAGATTCAACACCGATCACTGACAAATCTACAACTGTCGCCCAGGACACAACAAAGCATCCTGAAGAGACCACTACGATTGATGTAGACACAACTCTTGCAATTGAGACAACTACTGATAATCCTGGCGATGACACCACTGTAGAAGATTCAACACCGATTCCTGACATATCTAGTACTATCGTTCCTGCCGAATCAACTACTGCTGGATCTATGGACAGCACCACCATAGATTATTCAACGCATTCTCCAGAGGATAGTAGCACAGGTAGTGAACATACTACAAATAACCCCAAGGACGATACCACTATAGAGAATTCTACACCTTATCCAGAGGAAAGTAGCACAGTTGTGATTACGACGAATATTCCCCATGAAAGCACTACTTTAGACGATTCTACCCTGTCACCTGGAGTAAGCAGTACTGCAGGACAGGATTCCACTACAGCAGAAAATAAACCTGGAGAAAGTACAACGATATCTGACACAAGTTCCACTCCAGTATACGAGACCACGAGTAGTCCAATTCCATCTTCCTCAAGATCCACAACCTTAGAAACCTCATCAACTTCTTCCCCTGATACCACAACTTCAAATGTACCACCACTGTCGTGCAGTACCGGGTATCAATATTTACCCCACCCAACAAATTGCCATAAATTTATTCACTGTAGCAACGGATATGAACTAATTATGGATTGCCCAGCTAATCTTTATTGGGACTATACCAAATTCGCTTGCAGTGGAGACTCAAGTGTTTGCTACAACGACGTTGAGAACTCCAATCCAGAGGAGAAGGCTTGCGGCCCTGGAGTGGATTTCCTTGCTCATCCAACGGACTGTACCATGTATTTGCAATGTAGTAATGGCGAGGCATTAGAGCGCAGGTGTCCAGATCCTTTGTATTGGAACCAGGAGATAAAGTCATGTGATTGGTCCAATAAATATTGCACAGATCTTCGGGCGGCTCAATCGATTTCTTGCGCAGCGGGCATGAATTTTGAAGTTTTTCAAAGCGATTGCTCTAAATACGTCAAGTGCTTTGGCTTGAGAGGTGTTGTAATGAGCTGCAATTCGGGACTTTACTGGAATCCCATTAAGCAAGTTTGCGAAAAGTCCAAGTGGTTCTGCACATAAGAGTAAGCCCAATTAGTTTTAGTAATGCCAATAAATAATATATAGATACTTTATTTGGCAGAATCGATTAGAAAAATGTAACCGAAATTATAAAGAACGTCTAATAAAGAAACTCAATGTTAAATTCTTATAGTAATTAAAAAAACAAATTCACTAACATTTTTATTTCACTTGTGTTTGAGATGATCCAAATAGATATTTTTGGATGCATGCAAATTTATTGCAATAGACTGACGCACTTTGGTGTAAAGTACCCTATTGAAATGGAAAGAAAAGGTATTCTCAAATCCACCTGCAGGTGTTCAAAAAATTGGTTCTCATATAAATTCGTGTTACAATGCAATACAAAACACTTTCATACGCATTAAAAATGGAAAACAAGGTTAAAGACTGTTTTAATTGCAGTTGTATATAGTAAAATAAGTAATAGGTACACTGTAGCCGGCTTATTGGCTTTCCACAGTTCCTAGGCCTTTTTGTAGATCTTATCAATCTAGGTTTCAATTAAAAATATTACTAGCCTTGAAACACACCCCATACAGACGATGGGTATTTAAAAATTGAAAATTTAATGCTTCAGTTCAATTAAAACACATGGTTTCATAGAAGCTTTTAGCAGATAAGGGAATAAAGCCGAACTCAACATTGAATGGGGGCTGGTAGAAACTGCTCTATATATAGATATGACGATGGGTAGTCTAACCAGAAAGCGAAAGCAAATAATTAGTCTCAAAGGTTATCTGATTAAATTACTTCCGCCAATTTTTGATTTGTACAAATAAATAGGTGGCTTGGGAAATCCAAAGCCCAATCGATTAAGCCTTCGCCAGATGCAAAGAGACCACAACAAGTCAAGTGAATGAGTGTGGGCAGGGACACACTTGAAATGTATCCAAGAGATATACAATTGCGTATCTTTATATGCTAATAAATGCCAGCACATTTCCTTAAAATGGGTCAAAAGAGCCCCCCATCCGTTGGCACCACGATGAGACTACGATGTTGTAATGCCCACAGAAACTCATTTGTCGAGGGGGACGTCGCACCTCCCCTTCCACCGCCAGGCGACCAAGTGATCGATTGACACGATCAAAGCGCTGATACGTAATGGAATAGACACTCGACTGAATAGCACTGGCGACGAGCTCCCAGCTCGGGGCTCCAAGTGCCCTGATCCGCCTCACAGATACCAGCGCTCTGCGCTGGTGTTGATCCTCCATAAATATTCATGCTGGCCAAATGCAAATGTATTGGAAATTGCTCGCCTTCAATGAATTTGAGTTCTGCTCAAGCTCTAGAGTTTTGATGCCCGTACAGCCCAGCGTTATTCGCAATCCAGCAGTTGTCGCGATCGGAAGCAAATCGGAAAATCTCCCTTGGATTCCTAGAATACGCAGCCGAAAAAGTATGTGCCTAGGATGTATGCTCTCGAATCAAGGACACCGAAAAATATGATCTCTCAAAGTCGAGGGATTAGTGAAAAAAAAGAAAATAAAGCATCCTATTAATTGTGCAGTGCGGCACGGACTACGGATTGTAGAATTTGATTTCAAAAATGAAAATGTGAACCCCTGATTATGGGAAAATATGCAGTGAATTTGAAACATTAAAATCAAAGGATGTACAAGCCTATTTTATTAGTTAAGGGTCTCAGAGAACCATAAGTGGAAAACAATGAAAAACTTATAAAACAATTATGTGTATAGAGACTACTATTTCAATCATAATATATTAAACATTTCTTTAAGCTGATGTATATCACTTCTGTAACAATTTAAATGTAAAACAATGTAACTTTGTAGTCGCCAGGATAATAATTCTGTTATCCTTCCGAAGTGTAAAGTGCTTCTGTGACTGGCTTTAAGAAGCTTTTATTTTTTACACATGAAACTCAACGCAAAGATTTCAGGAACGGATACGGATTCGAAACTAACATAAATCAGCTCTAGCGATTACATCATTTCCAAGACTGAAATATAACCCAAGATCGATGGCCTTTTTTGGCATCGAACAGCACAGCGTGCGTGCTCATTCGAAAGAAAAGTGATAACCCCTGAAAGTGACGGACAAGAAGCGCTGAGAAGGAGTATAAACTAATAATAACACGCATCTATATGGTGTATTGATAATAGAATTGAATTTCATCTTACAGTTTGCTGGTTGTGTTGCCGCGACGTCGACGCATTTCAATTGGATTCAGGGCTTAATTTATTGAAATGTTGCCCCTTCGCTTGGGCCTGCTACTTGGCGCCGTGCTTTTCGTGGCAAGCGCAAATGGAGCTGCCATCGTAAGTTTACGAATTGTTAATGAATCCCGCCCAGAATTAGTGCTTCTGAATTAGTGCGTTTGAATGGAACCAAAGTAGTGTAATGTAAATGAACTCGGTTCGAAAAGTAGGCGATAAGCCGTAATTTGACCAAGGTCAGTTCTTACAAGCAGCATCTAATCGAGCGCACTGGCAGAGGCCCTTTGAATGAATAAAGATTAGATTGACATTAGCATTGAATTGAAATCGATGTGTTACCTTTCAGGAAAACGAGGTTTCCAGTCTGAGCGACTTGCAGCGGGAGCGGAGAAGCGGCAGAGGCTAGTAAGTAGTTAGCAACTATTTCGGAAAAGAGTGGAAAAGTAAACCCTTTCCACCTTTCTCCCCAGTTCACGGGGACAAACCCAGTCTCAGTACTTAAATTTCGGCAAGCCCGAGGAGGATGGAAAGGCCGAGGCAGAAGCCACCGAAAATGGATCTCGCTCAACTGTCTGTGAGTACGGCGCAGCTGAGTTCCATTAGCACCTTATCTAGTGACCTAAAACCCTTTCAGCTGGCACCCATGGAATGGGCCAGGCTCAGAGCCAGTTCTCATCAGGGGACTGCAATGGATGTTCTGGCTACCAAACGGATTACCCCACGGCAGGCAGAATCCTGGATGCTAGCGGATCCGGAGCGGTCGGTAGACCCGATGCCATAATAAGCTTACCCGGGGGAGGTAAGTCGTATATGACCAAAATGTATACGGTCCGTGTTTCTATTTTCCAATTCCTAATGCAGGCGTGCACGGAGGTCTGGGTGGCCAGCCAGGAATCGGAGGTCAACCAGGAATTGAAGGTCGTCCAGGCGGGCAATCACGACCTGGAGAAAGCCAGATAGGATTTGGTGGAGCTCGCCCTGGATATGGAACTCCATCTGGTGTTGGGGGGCCAGGTCAAGTTGGCAGCGGATCGGGACAACCGGGATCAGATGGACAGTCGGGGGGTGAACAGCCAGGAGGCGGAGTCAGACCATCCGGAGTCGAAAGCCAACCTGGTATTGGTGGACAGACAGGAAACGGTCAAGTCGTATACGGAAGGCAGCCAGGATTGGGAGGACAGACCGGAGTTGGACAACCCGGATATGAAAGCCAACCAGGAGTTGGCACTCAGACCGGTTCCGGACAACCCGGATACGGAAGCCAACCTGGTGTTGGCGGACAGGTCGGAGGTGGGACACCCGGTTACGGAATTCAGCCTGCAATTGGAGGACAGATTGGATCCGGACAACCCGGTTATGGTAGCCAACCTGGTACTGGCGGAGCTGGACAATCGGGATACGGAAGCCAGCCTGGAGTTGGCGGACAGGCCGGAGCCGGACAACCCGGATACGGAAGCCAACCAGGCGTTGGTGCTCAGACCGGGGTCGGGCAACCAGGAATTGGTGGACAGACCGGTATCGGACAATCCGGATACGGAAGCCAACCTGGAATTGGTGGACAGAGCGGCACCGGGCAACCTGGTTACGGATCCCAGCCAGGGATTGGTGGACAGACCGGTGTCGGACAACCCGGATACGGAAGCCAACCTGGAATTGGTGGACAGAGCGGCACCGGGCAACCCGGTTACGGATCCCAGCCAGGGATTGGTGGACAGACCGGTGTCGGACAACCCGGATACGGAAGCCAACCTGGAATTGGTGGACAGAGCGGCACCGGGCAACCCGGTTACGGATCCCAGCCAGGGATTGGTGGTCAGACCGGTGTCGGACAACCCGGATACGGAAGCCAACCTGGAATTGGTGGACAGAGCGGCACCGGGCAACCCGGTTACGGATCCCAGCCAGGGATTGGTGGACAGACCGGTGTCGGACAACCCGGATACGGAAGCCAACCCGGAATTGGTGGTCAGAGCGGCACCGGGCAAACCGGTTACGGATCCCAGCCAGGGATTGGTGGACAGACCGGTGTCGGACAACCCGGATACGGAAGCCAACCTGGAATTGGTGGACAGAGCGGACCCGGGCAACCCGGTTACGGATCCCAGCCAGGGATTGGTGGACAGACCGGTGTCGGACAACCCGGATACGGAAGCCAACCCGGAATTGGTGGTCAAAGCGGCACCGGGCAACCCGGTTACGGATCCCAACCAGGAATTGGTGGACAGACCGGTGTCGGACAACCCGGATACGGAAGCCAACCTGGAATTGGTGGACAGAGCGGCACCGGGCAACCCGGTTACGGATCCCAGCCAGGGATTGGTGGACAGACCGGTGTCGGACAACCCGGATACGGAAGCCAGCCTGGAATTGGTGGACAGAGCGGCACCGGGCAACCCGGCTACGGATCCCAGCCAGGGATTGGTGGACAGACCGGAGTCGGACGACCCGGATACGGAAGCCAACCTGGAACTGGCGGAACCGCTCAACAAGGATATGGAACTCAGCCAGGATCTGGAGGTCAATCAGTCAGTGGAGGGCAACCCGGATATGGAAGCCAACCTGGAATTGGCGGACAGACCGGACAACCCGGATATGGAAGCCAACCAGGAGTTGGCGCTCAGTCCGTAGCCGGTCAACCCGGATACGGAACCCAACCTGGAATTGGCAGACTGACTGCAGCCGGACAACCCGGAGTTGGCGCTCAGTACGGAGCCGGTCAACCCGGATACGGAACACAAACTGGAATTGGTGGACAGACTGGAGGCGGTGGCTCACCTGGAGTTTTAACTCAGACAGGAGGGAAACACGGATACGGAACTCAGCCTGGAATTGGCGGTCAAACCCTGACCGGACCAACCGGATATGGTGGCCAAGCAGGATATGGAGGCCAGCCTGGAGCCGGTCAACCCGGATACGGAACCCAACCTGGAATTGGTGGAGCATCCGGGTACGGCAGTCAACCTGGAATTGGCGGTCAAACCGGGGCCGGACAACCCGGATATGGTAGCCAAGCAGGATATGGAGGCCAGCATGGAGCCGGTCAACCCGGATACGGATCCCAACCAGGAATTGGCGGACAGACTGGAGTCGGACAACCCGGATACGGAAGCCAACCAGTAGTTGGTGCTCAGGCCGGAGCCGGGCAGCCTGGATACGGATCCCAACCAGGAATTGGTGGAAAGACCGGTGTCGGACAGCCCGGATACGGAAGCCAACCTGGAATTGGTGCTCAGACCGTAGCCGGGCAACCCGGATACGGATCCCAACCAGGAATTGGCGGACAGAGTGGAGTAGGACAACCCGGATACGGAAGCCAACCAGGAGTTGGTGCTCAGACCGGAGCCGGGCAAACTCTATACGGATCCCAACCAGGAATTGGGGGACAGACTGGAGTAGGACAACCCGGATACGGAAGCCAACCTATTATTGGCGGACAGGCGGGAGCCGGGCAAACCGGATACGGAACACATCCTGGTATTGGCGGACAGACTGGTACTGGACAAACTGGAACCGGACAGCTCGGATATGGTAGCCAGCCTGGAGTCGGTCTAACAGGATACGGAAGCCAACCTGGTATTGGTGGACAAAGCGGCGCCTTACAACCAGGATACGGAAGCCAACCTGTTATTGGCGGACAGACCGGAGCCGGACAACTCGGATACGGAGTCCAACCAGGATTTGGGGGACAACCCGGATTCGGAAACCAACCGGGAATTGGCGGACAGACTGGAGCCGGACAACCTGGATACGGAGTCCAACCTGGATTTGGAGGACAACCTGGAACCGTACAACCTGGGTACGGCAGCCAACCTGGAATTGGCGGACAGACCGCAGCTGGACAACCTGGATATGGAGGCCAACCTGGAATTGGTGGATCAACTGGGTATGGAACACAGCCCGGAACTGGAGATCGAACAGGAATCAGTGGTGGTCATCTCGGGTACGGAACTCAACCTGGAGTCAGCGGACACACCGGAGCGGGACAACCCGGATTCGGAACCTTACCTGGAACAGGTGGTCAGGCTCCGACCGGCCAACCCGGATACGGACAACCAGGATATGGATCTCAACCAGGAGTTGGTGGACAGACCGGAGGCGGACAAGGTGGATACGGAAGCCAACCCGGATTCGGTGGATCGGCAGGTTATGGAGCACAGCCAGGAGGTGGAGGCCAAAATGGAGTGATTGGAGGGCAACCCGGAAAGACCGGAGACAGTGCTGGACAACCAGGATACGGAACCCAGACAGGGCAAATTGGGGCGCCAGGTCGGTATACAGATGGAAGTGCAGGAAGTCAAACTGCACCTGGTGCTGTGGGCACTAGTGGAGCTGGTAAGTAGCTATCTAGATACAGGAGTCGCAGGCAATGTATTGAATTGTTCGTTTGCCAGTTGCTCCCGGTACCAGTGGAGCTGACGACGCCTTCTCCCAAGCCGAGTCATCAATTGGCGACGGACAAGCCTCGGCAAGTGCTCAGGGCAAGAAGAATGGAGGCACGGCCAAGACTCAGGTGTCGGGAACTTACAGCTCCGGCGGAACCTTCAGCGCCAGTGCAATGACGTCCGATGCGGATCGTGCGGCCAGTGCCCAGGTGACAGGAAATGCTGATGGAGCCGTGAGTCAGTCGCAGGGATCGGGTGGTCCTGCCCAATCGCAGGCCCAGGTACAGGTGGCCAAGGACGGCGGCACCAAGGCCTCGTCGCAGAGCGGTGGCATCATCCAACAGAGCCAGAGCGAGGTGCACGCCAATGACAAGGGCGGTCTGGCGGACGCCCAGTCGAGCGGACCCGGTCAAACCTCCTCCCAGGCCCAGATCGGCTTCCGTCCCGGCCAGGAGGCCAATCCGCCGGCAGCTAATGGTGGCGGCCAGGCATCGTCCTCATCTGGCACTCACTCTAGTCAGAGTAGCTCGCAAATTCACGGAACCTCCAGGTAGTAGAGCTATAGGATTATTTATTGCTGAAGCCATTCATCATCGGCCTTGTATTCCAGCTTTGGTGTTTCCTACCATGGTGCTGCGCAGTCCGCGTCGGGCACCAAGGAGCAGGTGGCTACTTACAGGGAAGCGAACAGGGAGCTCTTCAATACCATCAGTCAGTTTGGCAACAACGGGAATGCGTAAGTAATCGGAGAAACATGAATAAATAATATGTGTGTAGTGTTACAAGTAAAAAGGGATAAAGGATCCTAATGTTTTCAAATTGGCAAGAAATGTTCAAAATTGATTTGGAAAAGTTCCAAGTGTAGTTCAATCAATTTGTTGTGATTTTATAACTGCCATGCCTTTCTAGAATTCCTAGCAATTCCTTGATAAAACGTAGTCATTTTTGTATACTTACTGTGGCTATTTGTGTTGGATACATAAACGAATAAATCCTTAAAAACTGCTAACTACTTTTACTTACTACTTAAACGGGAAGTACGTGCTGTAAGTTTTTTTTTTCCATTTTGTGTAAAGTAAAAAAGTGATACAATGTTATTTCATTTTATTATTATTAACTTTTCAACTTCCAGTGTTACAGATCGAGCTGATGCCGTCTACAGTGGCCCCGCGCTTACGGATGAGACCGACAGTGTGCCAGAGGCTCAACTGAAGTCCACCAAGCCCAAGGAGGAAGCGGAGCAGGTGGTGAGCAAGCCAGAGCAGCCGGAGCCCGTTCAGTACGAGGATGAAGAGGACGCCGAACCGGATGAATACGATGACGATGAGTACTACAACGAGAAGCCAGTGAAGCTAGAGGAAACCCCAAAGCCGGCCAGCATGGTGAAGCCACCCGAAACCACACCCAAACCCAAGGTCTACGAACAGTCATCGACCACGCAAAGCCAACAGGCAGTCGTGGTGCCGGTGGCAGGTGAGAAATATCAGGTGGTGCAAAAGCAGAACGGTAAGGCCACCATCAATGCTGAGCCCTCGACCACCGAGGCCATACCACCAGGATTCCGGGGAACCGTGAATGTGGAAAAGAAGTTCCACACCAAGGCCCTGGAGCTGCACCCTGCCAAGGGAGTGGAGATCACACCCGACACCAACGACGAGGGTCCGGTTCGGGGTGACAAGCCGCTCCTGCGTGCTCCTGATAGCTACGTGACCGTCACCAAGTCGGTGACCGGCAGCATGGACAACACCAAGAACCCGCCGCAGGAGAACAAGAACTTCCAGTCCACCTACTACACCAAGTCCTCGACGTGCGGCTACTTCACCTTCTCCTGCAACATTGTCTACGGCGCCAATGGAAGGAGCAAGATCTGTCGGCCCAAGGCGCCCACCAATGGAAAATGCTAGGATGGGCCCTTCACTATAGTACCACCCCACCCATATTATGGTAGATCAGTTCCAGAGGGGCTCAATCTAGAACAGCTCAATTAGAACCACCAACTGCCATCTACAAACACCTTTTTGTATTTTGACGCAGCTTGCTCTTGAGCATTTAAGTGTTTTTCGCAAATAATTAAACGGTTTCACTGCCATTTCTTGAATATGTCGTACGACTTGCAACTGTAATTAATATTTAATAACAAAACACCACAAAAAAAGACCATTTTTCTGCGATTTCCTTATTCCGAACCGTTTGTGCGAAGTTGTTTCAGATGTTGTTCAGCCTAAATACAGATTTTATCGCAGGTAAGGAGCTGGGAGTTCCAAAAGAGGTATTGTGGGCAGGGCATTACGAACGGCAGGTAGTCGCACTGAATATACTGGCTGCAATTTCCTGGGTAGGGTATTAGGTGCTTGAGCTTATTCTCACACAGTTTCGCGAGATCGGAATTTTGTGGATATAAGTTGTTCCCATTCGGCATCGGGTCAATGGAGGAGCAGCCAGCGGTGGTCTGCAAATCACATTGTTGGAGCTGTGAGTTCCAATGAAATTCCGGCGGACAGTCAAACAGCCGTGTCTCGTAGTACCCATGGCAATCATTGGGAAGGGGCCATCTCGACACAGCTTGTGGCGTGCAAAATCCGGTGAACAAGGCACATAGTGAAACAGTCAGGTATATCTGAGCTAGCACTGAATAAAGTACAAAATGTTTTAGTAATGTTACGAAAATAGTTAGGCTCGCACTTTTCCCTGCTTCGCGAAGATTTTTCTGTCTGAGACTGCAAATCCGATGTGTCTGGTTATATATCATTGCTGAGTAAATACACGTTATTGACAAATTGATACGGCGCCCTCATCACACCTGTCCTTGGAAAGATAAGCTTGGCCGGTCAAGTGGAAGGGAAAATAACACGTACGACAAGTACTGCCTGTTGCTCACTAAATTCAAAAACCTATTAAAATAATTGACAGTACTCCAAATTAAACAGTGGTCAAAGCTTTCCGATTAGTTCCACTCCAAATCAAGGATAATTTAAGTAAAATTAGCTGTGCGTTGAATTTATATTATTAGGGAAAGTGTGGATATACCTGACCTGGGCAGCAAGAATTCCATATGTACACATGGCATATCTAGGGGGAGTTCTTATAAGATTTGTCTTTCATTGTTTACGCAATCTGATGTGCGATAAAAAGGTGTTGAGCACTTGAACATGATAAATGTGTCCAGCATATGGCTGGTATAAAAGGCCGAGTTTTTCCAAGTTGTAGCATCCATTTTCTTGGACGGCTTTCACCAAACAACATCAAAAGTAACAGAAGGCACATAATCCTGAACCCTTAGGGCATTGACAAATAATTTTTTTTTGCAGTGCGGCAAGGATCTGCTGTTATCTGCCTAGGATTGTTGGCTTTCATTGCAGTTGTTGACTGCCAAGCAATCAATAATCTCGCGGTGAGTACTCGAACCGGCTAAAATCGATATGGTCTGGGAAAGTCGTTTTTCATATTTACAGCCCACACTAACCGAACACTCTATACAATGCCCACCGTTCGACGATCCCTACCACAATGTGATGTTGCCATATCCCAACGACTGTCGCAAGTATTACGTATGCCAAAAAGGACGCGCCTTCGAGTACCAGTGTCCTCCGAATTTGTTCTGGAGCCAGATGACCTACCGCTGTGACTACAAGGAGTACTCCAACTGCAACTCGGACCATCCCAGCTCCAGCCAAGATGTCGAGGTGATATTCAATGCATATCCCGGGGATTGCAGTCGATTCTACGAGACACGTATCCTTCGCTGTGAGCGAAACTTCCAGTGGAGTTCATTGTACCAGAGCTGCGTACCCCCCCAGTACGGGGATTGCCAGAACTCCGCTGTGGCCTTGCCACCCGTATACCCGATTACCCCAGTGCCTCCCTTCCCAACCCTACCAACCGTGAGCCCCTATGATCCCATGCCCACCGCTGCTACTCCGCCGTCCCTAAACATAGCTCCTACGGAACTGAACTTTCTGCCCATTGATGTCCAATCGTTGTGCAATATAAGTCCTCCCAACGCGTACATTCCTTATCCGGGCGACTGCAGCAAGTTCATCCATTGCGGACCAACAGCAACCATTCTCTCATGCGCGGATTCCTTGAAGTGGAATCCTGTCCAGCGTGCCTGCGTCATTTCCAGCAATGGGTGCCAGTTCTAGAAACCAGGGCCTTGAACCACCAAACAGAAGGCATGAAGTTACAACGTTTTAATAACTACTTTTACAAAAGCACACAATAAAAAGAATTTGATTACAAATCTGTAACAAAACCAGCCATCGCTTTTAAGGACTGCCATATGGAAAAGCTTGAAACATGTGATTTAGATTTCGGTAAGATGTGCAAAGCACTTGGATTGCAGCCCGCCAGCTGAGGATCCGTACATGTGAGAATCGTGGGATTGAATTCTTCTCCCGCCGGGCAGGCATAACCCACCGGAATGGGGTAGTCACAAGCTATGTACTTGCTACAATTGCCGGGATAGGGCACCAGTGATCCTTCGGCCTTATCCGCACAAATACCATCCGGCGATGGCTTTATGGTGGTTGTTGTGGTTGTGGGAGTAGTTACGGGAGGGATTGTTGTGGCTGGAATGGAACAGTTTGCGTACCACGGAGCCATACATCTTTCCAGAGCGGCACTGAATTCCTGACCCTCGTGACAGTTATAAACGATGGGAACGGGCTGAATACATTGTATAAACCTGGTGCAGTCATCCGGATAGGGAACTAGCTTTCCCGCAGGAGCTCCATCGCATGGATTTGGTTGTGAACCTGGAGTACTTGCTGTTGTTACTGTGGTTGGTCCTTCTGTGGTACCTGTGACTGCAGGGGATGTTGTTTTGATTTCACGACATGCCTCGGGCGAAACACCAGAACCACATTGCCCAGTCCACGGATCGAAATATTCGTCCATGCTGCATATACCCATCATGTAGGAGTCGTCGTCTGTGCAATAAATATACCATTGGCAATTGTCTTGGTAGGGCAAATTAAGGCCGGTGTTATTGGAACATATTGGAGTGTCGGGGCTAGGAGTTGTGAGTCCAGGCGCTGATGTTGTGGTCTCTCCATTTGAGCAATCGCTAGAATCCCACTCTACGCATCTCTGCAGAGCCTCGTTAAAAAACAAGCTCGCCGGACAGTAAAATGCAATGGGTACAGGACTGGCGCACACTATGTATTTGTTGCACACCTCGGGATAGGTGGCATAATAACCATCACTCTCCCCAGAACAAATGCCTGAAATATCCGGAGGATTGGTGGTTGTTTCCTCGGTATTTGAAGTAGGTGTTGTGAGTGGCGAGGTGGCTTGACTTGTGGGGGATGCGGTGGTAACTCCAGATTCCTTACACGCAGTCGGAGAAACATCAGGGCCACAATTTCCGGTTTGCGGATCGAACCAGGCGTTATAAATGCAATTGGCAATGGTGGACTCTCCGTTTCCCATGCAGAGAATATACTGCTGACAGTTTGTGGCGAGTGGGTACGAGGCTCCCAGTTCTTGATCGGCACAAGGATCTTTCGGAGCTTGTGTTGTTGGCGCATTCGTGGTAGTTTCGAAGGATTCAAGACAAGCGGTGGCTGATACATTTGGACCACATTCCCCAGTTTTTGGATCGAACCAGGAATTCGCCATGCATTTCGCAATCGTTGATTCACCATTATTGAGGCAGAGCAGGTACGACTGGCAGTCGGATTTTATGGGAAAGCTGGCACCCAGTTCTTGATCGGCACATGGATTACCACCACTGTCTTCCGGCGATGTTGGCTCAACAGTTGTGTTAATAGTTGGTGTCGAGGTTGGAGCGATTTCTCGGCAAGCTTCGGGTGATATATCGGGACCGCAGTTGCCGCTGCTCGGGCTAAACCAATTGTCAACGGGGCATGGAAATATTGTGTAAGAGTTGTTGCCCCAGCAGTAATAGTATTGCTCACAGTTTTGAGGGTCCGGAAAGGTAGTTCCCTGATTCTGATCCCCGCACTTGGTAAAGGACTCCGCAGCAGGCGTTGTGGTATCCCACGCATCTTGCGTAGTACGGTCACCATAGCACCACACATTATCCTTATCGTCACAGATATTCAAATCCGGATTGAAAAGCATCCCACCGGGGCACTGATAAACTGTACTTAGGTGATTCACGCACACGTAAAACTCATTACAGTTTTCAGAGGAGGGCAGTAAGGTGTTGTTACTTATGCCCAAACACGGATCTTCCGGTGGAGATTCTGTGGGTGAAGGTGAAGGTGTTGGATATGGCAACGGTTCGCAGTCAACGGTCCCTGGTGTGTCGCAAATTTGCAGAGGATTGTTGAAGAGCTTTCCGTCGGGACAGTACTCCAAATCAGCACAAGAATCATGGCATGATATATATGCGTTGCAGTTGTAGGGATATTCATAAAAACCATTCGATAAGGATTCACAGTACGTGGAATTCGATCCCGAAGATGTTACGCACTCATTTGAGTCGCGTTTCGAAAATGGTAATATAGCATTTGGGCTAAAATCATTCCATCCAAGAACTTCCACGCAAGGTGTTCCCAAAAGCCAAAGAAAAAACGGGAAAACCGCACGCTCTATAAAGAAAATTAGACCCATCAATAAGAAAAGTCCAGCCAAAATTATGCAATTTCATATTTTTTCGACATTGAACAGTATTTTACTCACCTTTCATTATGTGAGGACAAAATTTACTATTACGCTTAAGACTTTGTTTTCTTACGAATGATCACGGAAAGTTAATCCACTGTTCAGGTTAAAATTTAAATATATTTTCTTAGTGGTTGATATCGTGTGTTGATGTGCCAACGTCTTGGAATTAACTGAAATGGGATCGCATTTTTGGCAGTTTCAAATCAAACCCCTCATAGAGACATTTTTCCGCTGATAATGGCAAATAATATTGATAACATTCTATTGGTCAAGGAACTAGACAACAGCTTATTAATAATGTCCCATGATAAACATCTTTCCAATTCTGTTTTCGTTATAATTAATTTCGGCGAGATATCACAACAATGAAATTCCCCGGAAAGTATAAGCACTCCACTCTCTTTTTTGAAGTGATATTACAGGTAGGAACCCAATGTTTTACATTCTTATAAAGAACGTGGTTTATAGTTCGATAGGTGTTACCTACTTTTAGGCTCCATTCGATAATGTTAATCAAAACATATAATGAATAAAAAAAGATTTTTAGGTAAACTTGCATTGTATCAAGCACTAGCTTATCTGGCGAAGAGGACAGTTGAAAGTGTAAATAGGTCTAAAACTGGTAATTGGTATTCGTTGATTCGTTCATCAAAGTAGGAATTATTTTTTGATGGAGCAGTCAAGAAATTGGTCTTCGACCTGGGCACACGTTCAAATGTAGGAATGCCACTTTTGATCAAACGTAACATATGTTTTATATGAACCCTTATCAATTCCCAGTAAGAACTTTACAAGATAGTACTTATACTTGAGTTCTTTTATCACATGAGCAATACAATCAGATTCTAGCAATTTACATGCCACCAAGTCATGCAAATTTCCCAATAATGCTAGTCTATAAAAACGCAGTTCAATGAATGGAAAGATTCAGTTCGATAGGACACTCGATAGCACCACATAAAATGATGCTATTTGCACTGCTCTGGGGAATGTTAGTACTTCAAGAAAGTGCACAGGCTGTTGTACAAGTATGTTGGAAAACACCCGAAAAAGTATGAGAAATAACTACGTCCACATTCACAGAACGGATTTGCATTCAAGACGTCCTTATGCGAGGGTAAAAATGGGGGGCTCTTGCCCATGTTTGGATCTTGTAAAGGATATTACGTGTGTGCTGATGGAAGCGCTGTGACCGGAACTTGTGAAAGGAATACGCTGTTCAATCCTTTGACATTGCACTGCGACGATCCTGAGAATGTGGATTGCATGTTCGATGGCAAGGATAATGCTAGTGATGACACATCGAGCTTTGAAAGCGATGAGGACGATGAAGACGAAGTGGCCAAAACGGATCCTCCCGTTACTGTCAAACCGACGAAAAAGCCGCGACCTATAATCCAGGACAGAATGTGTGCTGGCAAGAAGGATGGAGTGCTGCTAGCAAAGACCGGATCCTGCCAGGAATACTATGTCTGCAAGGCCAAAAAGCCCCATCTACGCTCTTGTCCTGGTAAACAACACTTCAGTCCAACTCGTCGCACTTGCATGAAGGCCTCAGAAGCCAAGTGTTCGAGTGGAGCCCAAGAAAATAAAGAACTCGATGGTCCTGCCATTACGGGAGGAGTGTGCTCCGATGAAAACGAAAACTCCCTCGTTGCTCATCGAAGCGATTGTAGCAAGTTTATGCTCTGCAGCAACATGATGTTTTTGGTAATGGACTGCCCAACTGGCCTGCATTTCAATACAGCCTCTTCGCGATGCGATTATCCCAAAATTGCCAAGTGTCAGACGAAGCAGAAGGAGAGCAAAGGCAAATCGAAGTCAAAGAAACCTGTTCGCAAGTCGAAAAAACTGCGCTTCTAACTATATTTTCTAAAGACCCCAATAAAGTGCTTGAATTAATAATAGTTCACAATAGTCCAAAGCTTAGGCGGAAAAATAATTACCCGCACTTTATAAGTATAAGCAAAGGCACTAGAATAATTATATTATATATAATTATTAATAATATTCTAGTGTCTAAAGATACTAGAATAATTATATTATATAAATTATTATTCTAGTGTCTTTGGTATAAGGGTATAAGCGGTATACGGCTTATGGTTAAATAAAGTGAAAGATGAAGGTAGCCAACTCAAATTGCAGTCGACTTATACAACTTGCATACGACTTGTAGATGTGCAGTTATCTGCTTAGATTGTATAGTTTTTATCTAAGAAAAGCCAACACCGTTTTATGCAATACTCGTTTAATACTCTGCTTTAAATATTTTTTTTGAAACCATTTAGCACTTAACATTATCGGCCCAATCGCAGGATTTGACCAGCGCATTGTACAAAAGTCCTGAGGAGCAAGTGAAGTTCACCTCACACTCGCACTGGCAGACGACATAATTGGAGCTACATCCTCCGCTGGCATCGGCGAACATGGTACCATCCCGCTGGCCAACACATCGTCCTTGGCTCTCGCAATAAGTTCCCGAGGGTCCGGCATTGGGACCACTTGGCGGCGGAGATCCATCGTCGCAGTCAACATTCCAGGGATAATCGCACTGCTCTATTTGCGAATTGTACAGCAGATTGTTGGAGCACCGCTGCTCAAATTTCTTGCCATCTACGCACTGGTAGAAGGCGGAGCAATTTTTCTCCACCGGCCATATGGAATTGTTGGACACATCGCAGCAATCGGAATCGCAGGTTTTGGGAATACACACATTCTGTGTGTCGACCTCGCATTGCCCCAGTGTGGGATTGAAGAACTGCGTAGCGGAGCACTTCCTGGCCACAAGTTTTCCGTTTATGCACTGCAGGTATCCGGCGCAATCTGCAGGATTAACCTTAATCTCATTCTCAGTGCAAGACTGTTCAGTTCCCTTGCACTGGCCATTGTCCTCTTCGCACTCCTTGCTCAATGCATTCCAGTAATAGCCGGAGGCACAAGATTGAGACACGTACACTCCGTTAGTGCATATCTGGAACTTGGAGCAATCGCTGGGATCGGCCTTTTTGCTTCCCTCGGTGCAGCTTAGGCACACTCCGCAAGTATCTTCAACGCACTGATTCAGGGTCGAATTGAAGTAGTCTCCACTCGGGCAGCTCTGGCTCACTATGTTCCCGTTAACGCACTGTAAGTAGCCGGCACAGTTCTCCGGATTTAGTTTAATGTCCCCTTCCACACAGGTTGGCGGCTTGCACTGGCCATCATCTACGACGCAGACTTCCAAGTCCGAATGCCAATAGGATCCGCTTGCACAGGACTTGGATACAAATTCGCCGTGACAGCAGGCCAGATACTTGGTGCAATCATCCGCATCCACTTTTGTCTCGCCATCCTTGCAGCACTCAGCTCTTGACGAGCCCACGAAGAGGGAAACTATCAGGCATATGGCAACTCCTGGATAAAAACGCCGGGTCAACAATCAATCCTCTCAGTCCTCAATTATCACTGCTCCGTCCTTACCTCTCAATTGGGCCATCTTTGCACTCCGCATATCGAACGCTCACTGATGATGATGATTCGCCCCATATCGCCTTTTATATTTACCGGCAATTAAAATAATTGAATGTCTCTTCCTGCGGCAGAGCAAGTGGCGGTGATAAAGTCGGAACATCCGTGATACTATCAGCATATACCTACAGTAGTTATCCAAGCAATCGAAATTGTCACTATTTATAAGACTCAGCGGTGCAAAAGAAATTATTCTCCACATGCTAGTTAAATACTTCAGTTGCCATATACGAGAACGGAAATCGTAATGCCATTGAATGCCTCTGAGTACATACATAATGAGGAACAACTACTGATTTTAAGTACCGATGCTACCGACTATTTTGGAACTATACATAGTGATAGCAGCTGCTGTACCAGCTACAATCTGCTAGAAGGAACACACCCCTTCTCTTTAAATTTACGGGTAGATATGTTCGATAAGCTCTGGCCAATCTTATTGAGTGCCGACACCTGACGGCATTTTCCGCCACAAAACTGATTAAAATGATTTACTGACCCAGAGTTCCATTAATAAATAGTTGCTTTGATAATTCATTTCTTTATTCGGCCATCGGTCACCTAGAGAGTGCAAGCCACTTGGTCCTTATAATTGCAGGTCAGCAAGCTTTCGTCCCAGTACAACCCATTGGGGCACTCCAGGTCTACTTCGCACTCACACTGGCAGACGACGTACTTGCCACAACTTGTGGTGGACTTAAAGTAGGTACCCTCGCGTTGTCCCAAGCAACGGCCATTACTCTCGCAGGCGATTCCCGAAGGTCCTGCGTTGGGACCAGAGGGCGGGGTGTATGGCCACGGGCAATCATAGTCCTGTGGGTACTCGCATTCTTCGGTGTTGGGGTTGTAGACCAAGTTGTTGGGGCAATACTGCTCCACGGCGCAGTTGAAGTTGCACTTGTAGAACATGTTGCACTTGCCGTCCACCGGAAAGAGTTCTCCCTCCGGCTGATTTTGGCACACGGTGCTGGTGGTATTGCAGACCACCGTGGGCACATAGTTCTCAGGATAGTCGCACTGATCCGAGGTGGCATTGTAGACGAGGTCTCCATAACATTCAACCACCGAGGAAACAATTGCGGAACTAGTGTCCTTAGCCCAATCACACACTTGGGCACTCTCGTTGAACTTCAGACCCTCGGAACAGGGCATCGCAATGGGGCACTGGCACTGGCAGACAAAGAATCCATTCGAATCGGGGTCCGCAACCATATAGCCATCCCTTTGACCAGCGCATCTGCCCTGACTGGAGCAGGTGGTACCGGACGGTCCCTCGATCTCAGAGGAGCCATCGGCGGTGGGGGTGCAGTCCACGTTCCACCAGTAGTCGCAATCGTTTATCTCCGTGTTGAAGTACAGACCGGAAGGACACTGGAATTCTTCGGCACACCCATTGTTGCATTGGATAAACCTCACGCAAATCCCGGGCATATCCAAATAGGTGCCAGTTTTCTGATTCACGCAATCCGTACGATCACTTTTGCAATACGCGGGCACCAGACCTGGACCCGAAGGCGTGGTATTGGAGGAGTTGTTGGAGTTCTCATTCTCCGATGTTGCATCCGTTGGATCAGTGGAATCCGAGGGATCCGAGGGACCCGAGGGATCCGTGACCGAAGTGGGAGCATCCGTATCGCAGTCCTCGGTGACCGCTGTGGATTCATCGTTACCTCCACTGGGATCTTGGCACTCCTCGGCACAGCACTCGCAGGTACACTGATCATCCACTTCGGCAAAGGCCGACAGGCCCAGGCAATTAGCCCGCCACTGGAAGTCGCACTCCCCCAGCTCCCGATTGAAGTGGAGTCCGCGAGGGCAGCTGCCGATTATGGACACCCCTCCCTTCATGCAAACCACAAACCGGGAACAGTGGGTGGCCAGCGGAAGTCTCGTGCCATCCTCCTGATTCTGGCAGACATTCGTCAGCTGGGCTACCACAGTGTGCAGACCTGCGGCAAGCAGCAGAACTGTCCAGAGACCTGAGATGTGGAAACCGAAAGGAGTTACTTGCTCTAAGTAGCCAACTCTTCAGCAGCTCACCCCCAAAATTGACTGGTCGCATTCTCCCGAGATCACCTTCAAAGTAGTCAGAATTTCGCGAACGACTAAGCTGCAAACCAGGCCGAGTAGCCCCATTTAACTGCCAAGAGTGCGCCGAATCAGTAGTCAATCTTCTGATAATACCAATCACCATACGAATCTCTCGATTAATTCGGCAATGATTTGTTTGCGCCACAACGCTATCGCAGGTGTAATTAGGTGTGTGTGTCTGGAGCTCGGCACTGGGAAGCTCGGGCCGCCTTATCAAGACCTGCACTTCAGACCCAGAAGAGACCAGGCTGAAGGGAAAGCAATATTTTGGCATATGTCTGCGGATTCTTGACTACTGAATGGGTACCGTCCCGGCGCCCACCTAATTTATGTTTTGCCGCACGCTCCTAGATAACCACATAACGTATACCTAATCACTCGATTCGCTTTATTGACACTTGAAATTAAATGACGTTTACTGTCGCGTAAAATGAAGTGGCAGATACAAAAAAAACAAACTCTAAGATAGATTTTGGCATGCTTTGTGTGTTGCATTCGGAATAGAATGTTAAGCTGAGTTGAAGCAAATTAAAAGTTTCCCGTCAATCGGGTAGTGATTGTTAGGACCTCCAATAACCGCCATCGAATACACTTATTAAATTCCTGGAATGCAATCTCAGCGGTTCAAGTACGTCGATAACAAATTAGGAAACTCAAAAATAGCATTTTTCGTTGTCGTTTCACCGGAAGATGCGTTCTTAACTGGGATGCCAATCTTAATGACGAAAACTACTTTTCCCTGTCATTTCCCTGGGGTTACTGGAGCGTCCCAACCACCGGGGCTCGTGGGGCATGGGGCATGGGGCATGGAGGTCTATTTGTCACAGAAACGCAATCGGTTCATGACAAGTACTGTTATGGGCTTAGAAGAACCGGAGACGCATCGCCGAAGCAGACTGCGGTGAGAGGCTTCCTGCCCGACGACTCAGCAGATGAAACTGAAGACAATGCAATTCTAATTATTCAAACGCTAGCCAAGTACGCTTGAATTAAATTACCAAACTTGGGGAGGCCCAAATGGAAGAAAGGAGAGCAAAAGTGCTCTGAAGTCTAGGCCCAGGCACTTGAGTTGGAATGGCTTAGACTCTTCGGTGTCCATTACACTGGAGAAGTTGTGCTCAGCCCTCGGCTCGTCCGTCTGAGGCCATATGGGACAACAAAAGACGGGCCAGCGGAAATATGAGTGGATGCCATCGGTGCCATCGCATCGCACCCAATGCCCCCCGTGCAGCCTCTATTATAAAAATCTTCTCAGGTGTAACAGGTTTCTCAGATTTAAACAGAGGTCGCGCCTGTGTTATACACAGTCATCAGAGGCACTCGAGTCGCCTCGCCTCGCAAGCGATCAGTCGGTATCTTCAGTCCAAGGGGTGCAGGATCGGTAGCAGGAGCTACCTTCAGGAGCTGCACTCCCACTTCGAGTCGAAGAACTGAGATCGATTGGTGCATAGATATCAAGAAGCCCCACTCAATTCAACTCTAGCACCATTCGAAATCAGTGCTTTTGATAAGAAACAATCAGCGGAGTGTCAAATCGGAGCGAACTTCAAATGTGCTGTTGAATAACTCAAATCGGAACACTCTACATACAAATTTTAAAGAAAAAACTTATCTCAATTCAACGTACAATGAGTGCCAAGTTGTAACCGCCAAGTTGTTGCCGAAAGAAGCCAATAAAGTGCAAGCCGCCTTGTTGACCGGGTCTTTAGTCACTGATCAGAATGAGTAAACAACAATTGCTGTGTCATCAATGTGAATAGATTTCTTATCGCTGTCTTGGCAAAAAGTGTGACACGACTTCTTAGTTGACTCCAATTTTGTGTTGATTGTGAGAAAGGCACCTATTGTACCCCTAAGAATTTATTATTTGCGGAGACACTCTTCTCGTGTTCTCCACCAAATTGTGTTCCTAACCCTTTTTAGAAGTACAGAGGACTACTACATCATGTCAAGTTTAGTATTTATTCCAAGAACATACATCGACAAGTTGAACACAAAGCCTTAGATATGAGGCTTTCAACATTCTTAAAACAATAGATACATATTGTTATTGGGTTTTGAGTTATTGGGCCTAAACATTTACTGACCACCGTAACATTCCTAAGTATTCCCCAGTATTGTTTGCCCCAAAACATATTCATAGAATATATGAACATTATAGATAATAAAGTAATCTAACATTAATAGCATTCTTATCTCAACAGACACCTTTGAGATACAGATACTCTGCTAAGCGAAAAAATGACCAACATCTGACCTTGAGTCCGCATATCGACTACCATAATACTCTTGCTTATCAATATAGAACAGTGATATTTGCTCACATGGAAATATGAAAAATATTTTAGAAATCACCAATTCTATGCATTACCCCAAATCTTAAGGTATTTATATATTTATTTTTAAAGGAAAAGAGAATTTCTTAGCAGTAGGTTGTTTAAATTTTAATTAACAACCCATGTTGCTTAACCCGATCATCGCTACAGTGAAGGTATATAATAACCAAATCTAAAAAAAGGTATATATAATATATAAAACAATTAAGTATTGAACGCCAAGTTTTAACCATCAATGAGTACACCTTGTTTGAAAATTTCGACACGAGCAGCGTTTCAAAATGTATCAGCAAAACACGTGTTTTAAAGACACCTTTCGTTAAAATAATAATAATTGTAGCAGACGTAAACTTATTGGAGCTATTGTGTGCTAGATCGTCACTATTATTTAATTGAAACCCCAGTGATCTCTGTTTATGACAAGAGCCAAATCTAATCTTTTTTTGGCGTAGTAAATTAAAGCCATCCGAATGGGAAAATCGTGTATTTGCGGCTATAAAAGGCACAGCGGACCATTGCCAATTGTTAGTTGAATTTATCTAAGTTAAAGTGACGGGGAGGTATTTAAAAATGCGAGGTAGTGACCAATCGTTGAAGGCACATAAGCGGGAACTAATTTGCTTAAAATATTGCAGGACTTTTAAGTTCTTTGGTCCTTCAAGCCTTGTTGCTGGCCGTGATGGTTCATCTGAGCACCCAAACGCGTTACTTAAACGAAACCGATGATGTCTGTCGGCTTTTTAAGGATGGTACCAAGCTCTTGAAGCCCGGAACCTGCAGCGAGTCGATCATTTGCCAAAACTTTGAATCAACCCCAGGCCAAACCTGCTCCGGTTCTACGCCGTACTTCAGTGCTGTCGATGGTAAATGCAAAGCATCCGCGGCTAAGTACTGCGACACAAACAAAATATGCAAAGGATCTGGAACGGGCTATATTGGAGATAGCATAAATTGTGCAAACTGGTACTACTGCGATGCAGATGCGTTGTTGGGCAAAGGTGCATGCGCCCTAGGAATGCACTTCGATCAAGCAAGCAGGATGTGCGTCTATCCGGAGGACACAGAGTGTGCCGCGCAATACGAAATCTGCGACATTGCGCCCGAGAAAACACCCTTCCGCGATGAGGCCAACTGCCACATGTACTTTACCTGCAAGAGCAATAGTCAGAATAAGAATACATGCGAAAATGGCCTGTATTACAACGTGGCCACCGGAACTTGTGTGAAGAAAAAGGAAGTTATCTGCGAGAACCATCCGCTCCCGGAGGAGGTGTGTGGCAACAAAAAGCTGGCGGTGCGCAACAAATTCGTTTCGGATATGGCCACATGTCGCGGCTACTACTACTGCCGGGATCTGGGGTCCGGCATCCCCGATCCCGATCCCATATACCAGCAGTGCGACCAGAACAACTTCTTCAATATGGAGCGACAGGGTTGCATGCCGCGTGAGAGCCAGAAGTGCGACTACGATAGATGTGATGGCCGCAAGGAAGGCTTTGAAGTGGCTGAAATCGATGGATGCCACCACTACATCGAGTGCGTCGATGGCCGGGAAACCACTCCTATTAGCTGTGAGAATAAGTATTTCGACGTTGTCAAGCAGAGCTGCAGCGAAACCCACTTGGTTTACGGAGCTTGTTCCTCTTAACTGCATTTCATTTGCCAGCTGTTCGTTAGGTATTATTTGCAAATAAAAAGCCCATGTCTATATCACTGTTAATGAAGTCTTAAACTATCAGATAGCCATTACTCAGCTAATGGGAGTCATAAATGGGCATCATGAGCGCAATTAGTTGTATTGAGACATATACATATATGCCAAATATTACAATTATTGACAACTCAGAAAACCATTGGCTACCCCATTGGTTCCTAAATAGGCTTGTAGTCCAGACGCGACTCCAGCTTCTTGTTGTCCGCTATTTTGCGAACGGCCTTCATAAAATCCTCTTGAATAACGAACTCCCTATCGGAGCGGAGGGCAAAGAGCCCGGCTTCCGTGCAAATGTTCCGCAGATCGGCCCCATTGAACATGTCGGATAGCTTAACCACCGCCTCATAGTCAATTTCGCCGCGTTTGGCCAGCGGTCCGGCATGAATCTTGAGGATATCCATGCGCGCCACTTCGTTCGGCAGCGGAATTTCCAGTTTGCGATCAAGTCGCCCAGGACGCAGCAGAGCAGGATCCAGTGTATCCGGCCGATTGGTGGCCATGATCATTTTCACCTGGCCAAGGGCATCGAATCCGTCCATCTGGTTAAGCAGTTCCATTAGTGTGCGCTGGATCTCTCGGTCGGCGGAGGTTCCCTCCGAGAAGCGACGTCCGCCGATTGCGTCGATCTCGTCCATGAATATAATACACGGCTGGTGGTCACGGGCGTAGGCAAACATCTCCCGGATCAGTCGCGCACTCTCGCCAATGTACTTGTCCACAATAGCAGAGGAAACGACCTTCGGGTGAGGTTTTAAGAAACATATGTTAAGGGTTGCTTTATAATCTATGTAGCATTTACCTTCAGGAAGTTGGCGTCCATCTGGGAGGCGATGGCGCGGGCCAGGAGAGTTTTTCCGGTGCCAGGTGGTCCGTAGAGCAGGCATCCCTTGGGCGGATTGATGCCCACGCGTAGGAATATTTCTGGATTCAGCAGCGGCAGTTCAATGACCTCGCGAAGCTCACGGATTTGCTGACCAAGTCCACCGATCTCAGCGTAGTTTACGTTACCGGGATCTTCATGTGTCATGTTGTACACCAGGGGATCCACCTCCCGCGGCAAGTAGCGCATAATGGTCAGAGTGGTCACATCCAGGGCGACCCGAGTGCCGGCCTTTAGCTTCTCCTTGTTTATCTGCCGGCGACATCCGACCACATAGCGCGGTCCATTCGAGGCCTTCACGATGAAGTTGTCCGGGGTGAGCTGCTTCAGGATTTCCCCGAGCATCTGACCCACACTCTGGAGGGCCTTCAGGTCCTCCTCGGACTTCTCGTACTGGGCATTCACGACCTTGTGCTTGTCCCGCAAAGCCTTTAAATTGGATTCAAACTCCCGGTGCTCCAGGAGCTTGGTGCGGTAAGCGGTCAGCGCCATCCGCCGCTCTTGGTCCGCTGGGGGATTTGCTTGTGGAGCTGCCATTCTGGAATTCGATTTGTTCCTAACTATCCCGAATGACTTTAAAATTGTGCCCACTCACGTTTCGATTTTGACAACTGTCAGATTTGAACGGTGAACTGGTTCATTAGAAAACTAACTTCACTTTAGAAGCTTCAGTGGAACGTGAGAAAGGAACATGTATTTAAATCAACTACTAAATTGTACAATTGTTGTATTGCAATAGCTATAAAATGTACTGAGTATAATTTATTTTTTGCAAGCAGCTGATGTATTTGCCTTTTTAGATACCTAGAAAAGGCCTGTAGGTATTCATCAAGATGGGGACATAACATTTATTTTTAAGACATATTTTTATAACATACAAACAAGATAGAATGATATAGTCGAGTTCCCCGACTATCAGATACCAGTTACTCAGCTTGTGGAAGTGCAAACGCGAAATTTCTACAAACAAAATTTCCAACAAAATTTGGAAACAAACTTGCGCTGCGTTTAAGTCTGTGGTAGTTCCTGAGATCGAGGCGTTCACAGACGGACAGACGGGCAGACGGACATGGCTAGTTCGACTCGGCTATTGATCCTAATCACGAATACTTTAGAGAATTATACTTTTAGAGAATTTTGCCAGAAACATTTAGAGGTATGCCACTTCAAAATCCGATTAAGATAAGTTGAGTTATGTAGCTTTGAACTTTAGCTTTGGGACATTTTTTAATTTTTTCGAATTTCTACATCATCACATCAAAAAATTACAAAAAAATTAAAAAAAAATAGATTTCTAAATTTAAATGCAGATTCTTAGAGAATTGCGCCAGAAACATTTAGAGGTATGCCACTTCAAAATCCGATTAAGATAAGTTGAGCTATGTAGCTTTGAACTTTAGCTTTTGGACATTTTTTAATTTTTTCGAATATCTACATCATCACATCAAAAAATTTTTTATTTTTTAGAATTCATATTTTTTTGTAATCAGAAAAATTACAAAAAAATAAAAAAAATAGATTTTGAAATTTGAATGCAGATTTTTAGAGAATTGCGCCATACCCGTTAGTCAGCTAGTGGAAGTGCGAAAGAGAAATTTCATAATTTTCTGGATTAACGGTAAAAATTGCGAATAAAATTAAGAAATGAAAAAAAAATGTTCAAGAGTTTGGGCGTGACAGTTTTGTGTATTATTTTGTATTTTTGGCAAAACGATAGAAATTTACAAGACTAATAAAAAATTAAAAAAAATAATACAAAATTTACAAAATATATGGCCGTGGCAGTTTTAAATACTTAATTAACATAGTATTAAAACTATTTCATTGTTATCTATTTAATGCCATTTATTCAAAGATGGAAAGCTTTGAAAGCTTTTTGCGCAAAGCAGATGGCGCCACTTTCTGAAATCAGAAATAAATTTATAAAACCAATTCCTAAGAATACCAGTAAGGGTAAAATCAGTTTAGACTTGCATTTTTATATTATCAATGATTTTAAGGTTTACCTATGACCTATTACAGGGTGTCCACAAACTTAAATGGACAGTGGTACAGAACCAGCCATTTCGACTTTAGTAGTTCGCTGGCATGTGAATACCATCGAATGCGTCGGAAGGTGCTGGCCGGGAACCAAATTTCAGCACGGCATCCGGGCCATAAATCAGGCCATTTTGTAGCACTATGTGTTGCGGGTACAGCTGGTTCGAGTGGTGTGGCTACCACGACCAAAATATCCAGATATCCACTGGGACAACTGCATCTACGGGTCGGAATGCCCCGCATTTGGAACCCATGACAAATATGCAGCTTGCAAATGTCTAATGAATTTCAAACACGCCTCGCCTTGCAGCGCCAATTGCTGCCAAGTATTTTTGCCTATGGTTGTTGGGCATCCGAGCAGCATTTCTTTTTCATTCCAATCGAGCTATTTTTGTATGTAAAAATATTTACTTTTTTTTCTCCAGAAAATTTAAAACAAATAATAAATTGTATACCGAAAATCAGTTATTTAAGTTCGCGCTTTCGTGCTGCTAGGTAACACCCTTTTCTGGCCAAGTTGAGAAGATACTAAGAAGCATCATGTTTAAGAAACGGGTATGGTTAACAGTTGGAAACCCAATCGCCGCCAGACAGCAACTGGCCAAAAAGTATCTCATGCGGAGGAAGCAACAACAAACTACAGAAATATGAAGTTTTCTGAAAACGAAACCGAATTTCTATTCAATAAAGTTCGGTGGCTTAGTGGGCTCGATTTTTGTTGCCTGCCGCAACTTGTGGCGCAGATGTTCCCGACCATCCAGACAAAGTTCTTATTTGGTCAAGGAAAGAGGTCCTGTTCGAATACAACCCACTTACTACAGTGTCCTCATAAGCGAAATTAAACGCAGACCTCAAACAGAATGGCTTGTTGCAACTTTCACTTGTTTTCGATCTTGACTTCTGACATCCTCTGTGGCAGGGATTTGCAGTCGAGGACGTGGGCGTGGCTGGCCAACATGTTCATGGTAAAATTATGGCTTGACTCCGACATTGTTCAGTCCTTTAAAGGCTAACTTTCGGTTGCCTTTTAAATATCAAGCTTTAAATATAGAAGCGCAGTTTTATAAATGTTTAGAAATTCATAATTCAACTGGGAGACAGCAAAATTCCCACGGCAATTTGCAGTATGCCATTGTTTCTAAATTACTATTTACAAAGCGATAGGATTTTTAATTACCACAACCCCTTTATATTTACGTGAGAGCTTGAATTTCAACCAATTTTAACGTTGAATTACTACCTATTTCCTGTAATTATTTACAGATATGATTTACGCAATTAAACGTTTGCTTTGCCATAGAAGAATATATTTTGTTATTAGAGAACTTACGTGAACGGAATTTAAATGAATTGTAATTAAAGTGGAGAAGCCAGGATGAATTTATAAATAAAACATACTGTTCATATATAATAATTTGGATTCAAAAAATACCTTCTTGTTTCTGAGAACGTTGTATCGATCCGCTTTTGTTAATCATGTGAGTCCTCATATCTGAAATATGATTTGCATATGGATGCCGGATGTGCTAATGCAAATTTTTGACCCAGCTTGAATTTCATTAACACGATTCGGGATTCAGCGGTGCACACACTTACTTCCCCTCCATGTTCCGATCCCCCTGCTCCGACACTCATCCCATCCGATGCTTGATGGCCATACATCAGGATGAAGGATGAGCACTCCAGAGGATGTGTGTGCCATGAGCAAGTACTTACATATGTACCCAGGTACAGGTGTGCAGAAATGTGGCCGTGCATTGTAACGTTAACCGTTGACGCTGTCAAGTTGCAAGAAATGGTCACACTGCTAAAAAAAAGAAATTGTCAAGAGCATGGGTTGTTTCATTTTTACACATAACATATAACATTTTACAAATAGATTTACACATATGGATAAGTTCTAAAATATCTTTAATTGAATTTTGAGTTAGAATATTAGATATTTTGTGTTTTTTTTTTGAGTGCGGGTTGAGGGTCGGTGAGCATTTTGAGTTGAGGTTAACAAAAATGGCTATGCGTCGTCGTCCTGCTGACTGCGAAATTGCTTTGGATGCCAAATGAATGCACTTGCATATTTCATTGCCGCCCCGTCACCTGCGGTATCACCTTTGGGCCAACTTTTGACTCCATGTTGGGAAAACCCCATCATAAAACAATTGACGTTGGCTTTTTGGCCAGGAGCAATCGTAACTTTGATTACCAAACACTTGCATATATGTATGTAGAATAGGAAGGATAAAGGCTTTACGAAATAGGTTAATTGTTAAAGGATTTCTAAACCATCATACCTAAATCGCATACCTAAAATGCTCGATTTTGCAGGTTTTAATCCATTTTTTTGCACTGAATTATATTTGATATTTACAATACCTAATTTTATTGAATAAATATTATAATAAAGTACGTCCTCGTTAACATAGACTCTACATAACATACTGTTAACATGGCGACCCACTGCCTTAGTTTTTGTTGGGCCAGGTCACTTACGATCCACAGCTTCCACTTACTACGTGTGGCACTCGTTGCGGAAACTGTTGCTGCTGCTGTTAGCAGTGCCGTTATAAAGTAACGGTACCACTGCGCTATAGAGGCCAGTGTGTTGGCAGCGCCGCGTGGCAACGGTAATTGAATTGAATCGGGTATTGTTAGCGGTTTTACCTAACGGAAAATGTGACGGAATATTGGCGGGATTGTCGTGTTATAATTTATTTGTTTTAGTTAACACCGTGATATCGAGCATAACGAATCGAATATCGAGCATTGTTAGCAGTGCAAGTGTAAAAGTAGGTAGAGCTCAGATTGATTAATTTGTCTACTATCTTATCTTTTACTTTCGGATACACTTATATAATAGAACAATTATAATTTTGTATATTTTGTTTATTACTTGATAGAAATAACAAGAAACCATAGCTATGTATACGATACCTTATTTTATGATTTTGTACCTTCTTTATAAGCTTTAATACAAGATCCAAATTCTTCTAATTGAATAATGTTTCCGACCAGCAAAAAGGTGTTTCTTTTTCATAAATATGTTAATTAAAAGTTATAATCCTGAAAAGGTGCTGATGCTGTAACTTAAATAAAAGTGTTACCCGTGTTATGGCTCAACCAAAATTCCAAAAAAGATATTTCCAATCCATGAGTGACTAAAGGCAACCATGTCTTCCGGGGAGTGGGACCTGCGTGCCCTGAAGGCGCTCGAGGAGGAGGAGCAGCGTGAGTTCCTGGCCCTCAGCCAGAGGAATCTCTTCGATCCGCTGCCGAATCCCACAGCGGATGTGCCCAGTGCGAAGCCTTCTCTGACTTATGCCCAGCTGCATCCTCACCTGCTGAAGCTGCCGACGATTGACGAGTGCCAGCTGATGGCCGTCAAGCAGCAAAGATCGGCGGCCCTGCGATTCAGTCGTGCCCTCTCCTTGTCTGCCCACTCACTCACCTCTCGAACCGGAAGCGGTACGGCCGGCGGAAGCGGAAGTGGCCTGGGCTTTGGCCGCAAACTGAAGGCCCGCTTAGTGGGCGCCAAGTCGAGTGGCTCTCTGTCGCCCGGTCGCCACTCGCACAGCTACAGTGTTTCCCCGGTATATACGCCGCCGCCCATGAGAAGATGTGCCACCTTGCATCACACGCAACCGGTGCGAAAGGTCTTCAAAAATCTCCAACAGCTGCAGGAGCGGAAACGCCAGGCGGCCGGAAGTCATCTGCAGAGGATCGCTGGCACCGGAAAGACGTACTGGAAGTACGGAGCCAACTCCACGGCTGCCTCGATAGTGGGCCAACGGGCACGCCAAAGCCAACAGATCGAGGTGGAGGAGTCCAACGGTTCGGATGAGGTGAACTCGGAGCCGCAGGAATTCTCCGAGGCGGAAACGGGCTCCTGCAGCGTGCCACTCCCGTCGAAGGACACCAATGAAATACTCCGCCTGATGCTCAGTGCGGCCAGTTCGGCGGTGACTGTGACGCCAACGGCGGCGGCCATTGGTAACGGTAACGTGGCCGGAGCAACTGGTGGCGCCCCGCCACTGCGACGCTACCAGAATGCCAGCGATGTTGAGGAGGACGAAACTGTTGCGTACGGAGCTTTCCACCAGGCGGCCAAAAGCTTCGAGCGCGGCGCTCTCCTGCGAGTCGGCAGTTTAACAGCCCAAGAGAGCGCTAACGGCCACGTTAATGCCATGAGCCCCAGTCCACAAAACAGTCCCGTCAGGGAAACACAATCCACAGCGGTGGGTGGCACGGGCGGCAAGCGGATGTTCAAGTCCTGCTCGTTGGATTGGCCCGGGGATGCACAACAACATCAGCAACATCAAGCTGCAAGTCACGTGGAGGTGGTGGAGCAGCAGGGCAAGGACATTCGCTATCGGCAGAGGGATCACTGGGATCTCGAGCACGCCCACTTCCATCCCGAGGCACTTGGACACCTCACATCAAGCGCCACCGTCATCGACGACGAGCTGGAGCAGCATATCAAGCACTGTTCCTGCTCCTGCAACCACATGGGCTACGGCAACTCAATGGACTATCAGGTGAGTCAAGACGGTGTTTAAAATGAGGTAAATACCACATATGAATCACTTAAGATCTGGAGAACGCTCAGAAATATTCAAAAACTTGTTAAATATTAAAGAAAAAACTCAAAACTTCCCCACCCTGAAAACCAATGCGTTGAATTCATTCAAGAAATAGTATAATCCATATCAATAACCAGTTTCAACTTCCGAGCTTATATTGTATAATTGTTATACCGCCAGTATGAATAGGCAAATGGTTTTAGTTCATGGAATTTGCGATATTTTCAGTTTAGTGGAATGCTAATTGTTTCCTGTTTACCCATTTAATCCAGAACAGCGCCAAATTCCCGCCGTGCACACCCCTTTTCAAATGATGGCGCCGTGTAATTTTAATTGCAGCAACTATATCTGCAGTGCGGGTGTCCGGCAATTCAGGTGAATGGCGGCACATTCAGTGGCCTCCACTTGCCATCCACTTTCTAATGCACTCTGGCGGGGATTCCAGCACACGGGCATTTCCCAAACTCATTATCAGCGGGACCTTTTGTGGGCATTCCGGGTTCATGGCTGGATGGGTCCTGGCAGATTGCCGCCTGGAGATCGCTCTGGGACACTGACTCGGCCGCTGCCAAGTGCTCCATTGTCTGGCTGCGAGTGGCCCGCAGGATGGGTGCAACTTTTAAACTAAATTGAATACCCCTTTGAGTCCGACAATGAGCTGGACGCCCGTTCTTGGCGGGATTAAGCGCACAGATGGGTTTCTCGCCCCCTCACATCGTTATTGTCTGTAATTGTTAAGACGATTTTAGGTTTAATAGCTGCCATTTCAAATAGAACTGGAGTCTGTTGGCTGACCCCACGCAAACTCAGGACTTTATCTTTTGTTTTACCACAAGGATGCCGTGGATGGAGCACTCTATGTGGCCCTGAGGGCTGTGAGACTTTTATTGTGCAGCACTCAGGAACAAACTGCCTGGGAAACTTGAAGCATGACATGAAAATATTTTAAGCAATCTCAAGCCATTCTATTTGTAAGCCCTGAAATTCGAGGCTAAGATCCTGAAAAATAGTAATAGCCAGTTGTACAGTTTGATTACGACTTTATAGGAGTTTACAGCGTACATATAGTTCTACAATAGGTGCGATTGCGATTGGGAGTGCTTTACTAAGAGCGTTAGTAACATAGGGCGTTTATTGCTAACTCGGTCGAACATCCAGGGGGTCATGCGTCTAAAGGCTGTGGGGTAATCCGTGGGATGATCCGTTGGCCGGATCACTGCAGCGTGCTCTGTGGCGGAGTGAGCGGGGTCCAGGTGTCGGCAGCTACGGGCGGAGCTCCATTCACCACGGCAGTGGGCACCGAGACCACCGCAGCTCCAGCGCCAACGGTGCCCCGTTCCCTGGCGTGCTCCAGGGACGAGGACTCTATCTTGATGTCGTGGGAGCTTTTCAGGGAGGAACTGGCGCACTCCAGCGTTATGACCGAGCCCTGCTCCTCGCTCGGCTTGTACATGGCAGCCTGGGGGTCGTCCAGTGTCTTTGAAACATCAACGGGCTCCAACGGATGAGTGGCATAGCTGGAAGGCGGGTGGCGGGAAATCATTGATAGCTACGTTAGCGGTAAGTGCGCACAGTTCCCCACCGATTCAACCTACCCGATCTCCAGGGGAATGTACTCCGGCTGATAGTACGCCGCGGCAGCGTTCTGGTACAATCCGTACTCCGCCCCGGATCCGTTGTGCCAACCACTGGCGGGATAGCTCAGCGCCGAGGGCGCATTGAGAACCGCATTCGTGTACAGCTGATGGGTGGGCGAGGTGGGCGTGGGATGGTACACCTGGTGGGCAGCTGCACCATATGCCGCTTGCGGGGATCCCGTGGCTCCCGCACCGCCCCCCACGCCCACGCCCACGCCGCTTCCATAGATGTCCGTTTGGGCCATGTTGTACTGGTGGCTGTGTGGCGTCAGGTGGTGGATAGTGTAGCTGGGCGAGGAGGTCGTGTAGCTCGGGGATCCATTCGTGGGCGATGGTGAGTTATGAGACGCTAGGAAATGGAATTGAAAATAACACTATCAGTATGTACAAACAAAATATATGTTATCAATATCATCATTGTAAATAGGCCTATTATGATAGATAAATAGATACCATTGTGCAGAGGCTGACTCTGCTTCTTTATGAATATTTGAAGTTATTTTTAATTTATTGGCGCAGGCATTGTTAGGAGCACAGAAAACTGTCACGGTTCGCAGATTATCTCAAAAGTAAGAAGCTCAAAACTTTTATTAGGCGAAAACTAGCTGCTTTGTAATTAAATTTTGGTTTCGAAAGTTCAAGGGTCACGTAGCTTGTCAGCGAAACAATTGTATCTTTGGTTAGCCTTGGAGGTATTTTTGCAAAGATGCAAGCAGCAGCATTGCTTTCCTGCCATCCAAGGAGTACTCACAGATGTTGCGGCCACTGCACACGTTCATGGGCATGGGTCCCGGCACGCTGGTGGCGTTCCAGTAATTGCCATTGCTCTGCCAGCTGCTGGGATACGAGAACACGGACGCCGTGGGACTGGCCTCGACCGGCATGAAGCCGGACTGGGCGTAGGAACTGCTGAAGCATCCAGCACTCGGCGCAGAACCGATGCCGCCGGCGCTGGAGCTGCTCACACTGGTGCTCACGGAGCCAGTGGACGTGGAGTGCAGGCTGGTGGGCGTCTGCGGAGCCGACGGCGGCTGCGGCGATGTGGATGAGGCATTGCCGGCACTGCCATTCGATCCGGATCCGGAAACGACCCTGGGTCGACTGTACGGCGTGGTGCGCGTGGGTACTGCGGCACTGCGTGACGACAGGGATCTGCCGTACCGATCGCAGCTGGCGCCCGTGGAGGGACCCACGGATCCGGCTGATGAAACGCTCGGACAGGAGGACACCAGGCCGTGACTCTGGGCGATGGACAACGGAGGAGCTGCCACGGCGGCCGCCGCAGCCGTATAGTGTGTGGGCGGCGGGATTAGCCAGCCGTAGTGGGTGTCATGTGGATACAGCGTATCCGGCCGCTCCTTGGCATCCAGAAAGGCCTTGGCAAATGGATTATACTTGATCTTCAGCGAGGTCACCTCCTCATTCTGGTACGCCGTCACTGCGATGAACTGCGTCTCCGGAAATGGATAGGTGACCACGTGACGCTGCTCGGAACCCACGCGAACCAGATGCACACGTGGTTCGTACTTGTGCAAGGAGTTCAGCATTATCTGCAAGATAATTGTGTTACTACGGCTTTGATGGTTGCGGTCTTTCAGGCTCTGCCCACCTGTCCATTGCCATTGGTCTTGTTGGTCAGCTTTACTTTGGCAAACGAGATGGGCTCCTTCATCCAGTGGGCTCCGAAATTGGGCGACTCGGGGTGTACGTAGATGGGGTTTGACGGCGGAACCTCAGCCTTGCCACCAGGAACCTAAGTGATCGAAATAAAATACAAAATTACAAATTACAACGTGATAAGTTCTATTGTTCATAAGATAAGAGCGGTATATTACATCAGGGTAATGGAATGGCACTTAAACTTGATCTTTGATGGTAACGTAAGCCGGATCCTAAGCTTTGCTTGGGTGCGATCAGTGAGTAGACTTACCCATTCACCGTTCACGTACTTCCAGCGATGCGAGTCGATCTGGACGAACTCCAGGAGCACAGTGTACATGGCGGCGGGATCCAGACCCGAGGCACTGATCTTCACCACGGGGAACATGCGCCTGTTTGTGACAACGGAGACGGCAATTAGCAATTAGAACAGTTATGCAACAGTGGCCCATGCATTCGTAATAGTGGACAAACAGACCCAGACCCAAACCGAAAATCCCCCCAATTTGGAACTCCAACCTCGAGGTGGAGCCGCCGGCGGAGCGGAGACGGCAGGGATTGCGTTGCGGGCAAATATTGGAACGCTCAGGCGGGCTCTGTTCCACAACAATTAGTACAAGATGGCGGCTGTTGCCGGGCCACGCTAATTAGCACCTGACCAGGCCAGCAGACCCGACTCTCGGCCCGGTTCCAAGTTCTAAACGCGCGTTTCGCACACACTCACATCCACACGCTCATAGATACCTGTGCATATGCCCGTAAATTGGTAAATATTTTTAGTTATTTCAACAAATGCTGGCATGTAAATAAACAGACGAATGGATGTTTCCCCACACTCGAAGAAAATACAATCAACCGGATTTGTGACTCCATTGATAACTCTGATATTTGAGACCTTGGAGTTACAAGCTGCTTCATGGTTTTTGATCGGCCGGAGTTAACATTGATTTATTCTTTAAGAATAGCCCTTGATGCATATGAATTATCTGCTTTGCGTACTACAAACAACCACTTTTCTTCGAGTGTATCGGCTTAGCCTGAGCTGGAGAAACGTTAACGCTTCATTATGACTTGCAAATGGCGAGCAGTGAGATGGAAACCGTGGAAAAGCGATGCACCAAAAACAAAAGCGCAAAACCTCATTGCCAATTTGCATAGGAAAACAAAATGCGCCGCCGTCGCCATTTAACACATTCGAATTTCGAACAGCCCTCACAAAATCAATCCAATCAATTTGACTCACTCACCTGCCGTTTTTGGTGACGATCATCTCGTTGGTGAGGTTCTGGAAACGCAGCCAGAGCTCCCGATCGTCCAGAGAGATGCGCAGATTGCGATCCAGTTCATTGGGACTGCCTGCTCCGCCGACCACGCGATGCCCTCCATTTCCGGATACACTGGCTCCACCCACGCTCACCGCTGCCACGCCCCCCAGCCCGTGACCATGCCCGTGTCCGTTGTGGGTCACATGCTGTGGCGAACCACTGCCACCACCGCCACCACCAGCACCAGCACCACCACCACCTCCTGCTCCGCCCGTAACATTGCCACTGAGTCCGGTTGTTGGATCCACGGCGGACAGGATGTGCGATGTGGTCATGTCAGCTGCAATGCACAAAAAGCATATTTAATCAGAAATGTTGTTAAAATAAATGTTGCCAATGAGTCTTAAATCATTTTGCGGCACTAGGAAATAAGCAAAACATTCTTATAACACGCACTCCTTGCACAAATCCATTTCTAAGACCGTTTCACTTCTTAAACTAAACTCAATTGTCAGAATTTACGCACTTTTAATTGCTGTTCGTAGATAAGATTTTCAATTTGTTACATTCCATACTGGATTACTTATAAACATTTTGACAACAAATGTGATTTTGAACAAGTGAGCCATGATGAGGCCCCACGTGAAGGTGTGTTCCTGGACGCAACCGCTTGCCGGGAATCCAGAAGTGAAAACATGCTCTTCTCGGGACACAATCGTGTCCATGGTCAGTGTGGACGGATGGGCATTACATCAAAGCAATCTCAACCGGCTGGCCGACGAAGTGTCGGCTTTATGCGTTTACAACACTCTCCCAGGAGCATTAGAAGAATGCTCGCCGAGCTCTCTTGTCGGCTTTTAATTATATTGCACACTTTAGCCATGCCTGGGACTTCGTCTGCGAGTGGGTCTGGCTGGAATTGGGATGGGATTGGGATTGCGACTGAGTATGGTAGTGGGACTGGGACTGGGACTGGGATTGAGTTGGCCGAGATGCTGGCTGGCCATAAACAACGGGCACCCTTTTTATTTATGGCCGCGGCAACAAACACCTCTGTTTTGCGTCGGGGTCGGACCAGGGTCATTTGTATTCCGAATCGGATGCCTAGCAGAGAAATCACCTCAGATGTGCCGGTTTCGGGTGATGTCTAAATTGTGAGCCCATGTCCAGTCCCACCACCGAAAGTGTTTCTCGCAATGTTTTGTAATCATAAATTTACAAAATGTATTAATTGTTTTGTTTGGGTTTATTGGGCCACCAAATTGGAGGCCAAGTGCCGCCGTCTAGGATTCCTTTGTGGGAACGAACTCAAAAGTATACCCAAAGCCGATTGTTCTTGCTCCGTGGATCCAGATTTGATTTATTGGAAATTTCATCGCCCATCCTCCATCATAAAATGGCAAATGGCCGTATGCGGTTTGATGTCTTTCGTATTTGTCAACCATTTAATTTGATGGTGTGAAGCGAACAGGTTTTCCACCGTGTTCTAGCTGACCCCCACATATAATCATGTCCACCATCAATCAGCGGATGCATATGTGTTCTCGCAAGGCTGTTAAATTCTAAAGTAAGGAGAGCAAATCCATCAAAGCGGTGCTCTGGCAAGGATCCATTTTACTGGTTACCAAATCAGTGCTCCTTACGTACTTCTATCATAAATTTCCTGGTCATGATCTTAAATAAAATATTCATATATTGACTTGTGCGTTTTTGTCTTAAATTTGATTACCAATACTAGTCAGTAATTTGTCAACCAGTGACAAATTATGCCCGAATATCCGACTCTTTCAACCGCAGCTGCAGCCAATTAAAAGTTTCAATTCGAATTCAATCGGCTGAGCTTAGAAGTTCAACAACTTTGGGCCGACATTGGAAAGTTATATTCAGTTAATGGATTTTCAAAGGTTTCCGATTTACCAGCTCGTGTTCGCTCCGCATTATCCTAATTTTCACGCGGTTCTTGGCGGGTTTTTCTCATGTGCCCAATAGACGACATCGACGACATCATAAAAATTCACTCTTCATGATGTTGCCCCCCCCACATGACTCCCCACATGGCTCCCCCGCGGCTCATCTCATGACCGTGTTTGTGTTCCACATCGATCCGCACCACCGCACCACCGCGCCACCGCGCCACTCCAGCCCAGCACCACGATTTTAAGACGCGGTGTCCCAGCTCCGGCTCCATCACTAAGCTTAATGAAAAGCTGTTTTTGTGTGTTGTCTCCTCATCGGAGGAAGCGTGTGTGACTGTTGCCCATGTGTATATAGTGTGTATAGTACACGTATGTACATATATATGGAATATACTTTGACTTTTGATGGCAGCCATGACGGGTTTTCGGCTTGGGGTTTGCATTGGACTCTTTCCCCATCTCAGGCCAGCCGCTTTGTTGGTGGCTCTGTTGATTTTTGAATCATTTCGTGACTTTGATATTTACTCAGACGCTTTGGGGTGTTTTTTTCTATTTTTTGGTATGAAATATGCGCGCTATTTTGGAAATATGGCGCTTACGTACTCAATGTACAGGTACGTAATGGTCGATGAAACACATTCGGCGAATCTCAGATACATTTCTGCTTTTTAAGCTTTAAGTTTTGGAGAGGAGAGCGCCAGATAGTAAAATGTATATGTGGCTTACTATATTGGCTTTTAAACGGTTTTGAAGTCACTAAAACCATGTTAAATTAGCTGTATACGTGCTGCATTTTATTATTTACTGCTCGCTAAATGAACCATTTATTTTATGCACCCGTATTGAAAATGCTTTTATAGTTGATCCTTAGATAAACGTGTGGCTATAAAATATAGAATGTAATGCAACTGCCCTCCAAGTAATCGAACAAATCGAGTAAATATCAAGTTCGTTTATTCCCATTCGCACTTTGTGGAAAAGGACAATATTTCGCACCTGCTCAGGATGCTGGCGGGTGGCATCGATGACAAGTCACTGGTAGCCCGCTGGAGGCGATTAAGCCAAATCTGCTAAATTTCACACACCACTTCGCGTGAAAATAAACCGCATTTAAATTTAGATACTGCGTGGGCGAACTGAAATGGAAATAGCCGCGAATCGGGAATCGGGGGGGCTCCAAATGCAATCAATATTTCCGGAGGACAATGTCAGAGGTCGCTCCTGGAGAACTTCAAGATTTTCAGGATATTCTGTTCCTCTCCTCTTTTTTTTGGCGATTTGTTGGCGCTTCTTTAGGCAGCGATTGTCACACTTTTGTTTTCAGCACTCCACGGCACAGTGGTAGGCGCACTTTTATGAGCGGCGTACTAAAATTTTGTACAAACTGTAATTAATTAGTAAGCATTTGTCAAGTACTAAACGATCTGCGGGGGCGTTGCGGAGGGGCGAGCGGGCAGGCGGGGTTCCTTTAGGTCTGTTTATGGGCATCTTTGATTTGCATTTAATAGGATAATTTTCACATGCGTCGTAATTGGCTGCCTCAGATCGATCCAACTTGGTGTTTTTTGGCAATCCATGTCTGAAAATTCTTATGTCCCCACTAATTTGCGTGTGAACATCGGCCACGCCCACGGCCAATGAGCTATAGCTCCTCGCGCCCCTTTCTCGGCTGCTGTTTTATGTCATTAGAGGTATTATTAGGATCGTTAATGGGGGATTTTGTCACTTGCCCGTTGGATTTCGGGCGAGCCGCCAACACTTCGTCTTTTTGGCCAAGTGTCAAAATGTGTCTGTTTGGTGGTTTTGTTTGATTTCGGCATTTGATTTTCACACGTTCGTTTAAATAGGTTTGCCAATTTGCTATTTGATTACGTTTATGGTCATATGTCACACGGAGGAATAACCACTCACATTTTATGGCACTTGAGCTCTTGATTCGGAGAAGCGACTTTATGCTCATTTGCATTTTTGGGAGCCGTTTGTTTTGGGGTCAGTGTTTTACAGAAATACTCTTGACAAAGAAACACGTGTACTTCATTTAAAATATATCCTTATATGTATATACATTTTTTACATTTCCTAATCAAAAAGTGAAGTATTTCTATATGTACATATATTTCAAACGATTTAATGCCCAAAATCCTTGCCGACGGTTCAGTCTGCATCTTAATTTTGTTTCTTAAATATTGAATAAATTAGTCAACATTTTGCAATGTTTAAATGATATGTTTAACACTTCTTTCAGCACGTCTTAAAAAGGAGCATAAACGTGTGTTATAATAAAGTCCCAATTTAACGCTTTCGATTTTATATACTGCATTTGTTTAAGTTTCTTTCAACAAAGCTATGTATCTTAAACCTATAACATTTTAATTTTCAATTTCTAAGCCGAGAATTGGGAACCAACTTACCTATTTGGTAATGTGCTTCACGCCGAAACTCGGCGCTCTCGATATAATCCAGTGGGAAACTCCTTGTAAAGATGGTTTAGATATAGACTTAAGTTTAATACGGAACACTGCCAAATCACGCACTTTTATAGCACCAACTCCCTCGAAGGCTCACTTTATTGAGGATCACTGTCGCATGCGTTCAGATTAAAGTATCTAGATACAGCCGCGCGCCTTTCTCACAGATCTTCAAGATATTTGATTCGAGCCGAGATTCGAGTTTAGCGCTGCCGCAATGATCGTGTGTTTGCGTTGCCACCGTTCCCGAGCTAATGATCAACGATCGGTGCTAATTTTTTCAACCATCACAAGCCGCGCTTTCGGTTCCTCTATTTCTCATTTCTCGTCTTTGGCCGATCGTTGTTGCTTTCTTGTTTTTGGCCGTGATGATGGCCGGCCAGCGTGCAGCTCTCCACCGCTCCTATAGCCATCCCGTTTTGGCCCGATCGGCGAACGGCGAACGCTGATCGGCTAGCGGTCGTTTAGGCCACACCCTCTAACAGGTAAGACAGCGGCCGCATCTGGCCTCTCGCTCGCTCCCTCGCCGGGTCAATTCGCGGCCATCGCTCGAGAACCGGCAACAGGTAAAGAGCCCCCATATCACCGATCTCTCAGGTGGGTCGGATCCTCCAGGGCGAGCACACCTCCGCCTCTCAGCAGCGCGGAGTTGGAGTCCTAGGCGGGATTTGTGCGGCCCCTGCTGTAACCCCCGTGGCTAATCGTTCGCTTTGCATGCGCCAAAAATTAAGTGTAACGTGTTTCAGTTACGCACCTTTGTTGCACAGGGAAAAGTTTCTTATCGCTTGTGAGCTTGTGGAAGACGCTACACAAACACATTGGTCGACTTGTGACCCCTGGATTCAGTTTTAGATTAGAAGTGAAAGGGGATTTATGTCCAAGTTTTTGAATTTTCTTACTACTATATATACTAAATATATCATCATGATATTTGAGTCACTATTTGGAGATCATGCTAAAATGGGATCAGAGGTTGCTATCAAATATATTCAAATCAAATTGGGAGTATGTTTATTTTAATATAGAAGAACAAGACTTTCAGGGTTCCGCACATATACATATGAAGTATTTAATGCTAGAAGCATAAAACTAGGATCATCTGAGATACGACCGACTTGTTTTTCTCCGTGTGTCTGAGGTCTGGATTCACAGTACGTTGTTCGTTGTCCGCCGCAGACTGGCTTTGATTTGTTTAGACGCTCGTTTCGAGTTTTGTTTGTCCAACCAATTAAAACTTTGTATTTTTTCCACGGGTCTGTTTGCAGTCCAAAACGGGTTTGCCGATCCAACACTCTTCTTTTTTTTGGTAAAATTTTCAGCTGAATTTCGAGTTGTAAACATTTAACTCTGTGCCTCAATTTGTGTATGTGGCCAAAATACAAGTTATCCCGGGGCGGAGTTGCTGGATTTTTGGGCGGTGCGTGACCACACATGACTTAAATTTGGCCACAACACTGGAGCGAATCGCACATTACAATGTATAAGTTATATATTTTCTTTATTTTATAGAAGACAAAATAAATCGAAACCTACCTTAAAATATCTCCTAATTACCCATTTATTACTGCTTTAATTCAAGTGCTAATTTTAGGGAATATAATAAAATACGAATACTTCAGTAATATCCGATTAAATGAAAGTTTGCTGGGTTGCTCCAAGTTTGGTATTGCGAGACTCAATACAGCAACTATTTATAGCTTTTCCGTGAGTTTTTTGAGATCACGCGCCTCTTGCAGCGACGGTCTGAGTTTTTTCGTGGATCGCAGCTCGCTTTTTAGTCGGTTCCAACTCATCGCCGCGTGTCAATGGACCGACTTTATCTAGGGGCTGGGAATGGTCAAAAAGTTGGGCATTCTATGGCGCTGGAAGACAAACAGCTCGCGGCCAACGATGGCCATTAGTTAAAGGTCTGGTACAACAGTGCGGCCGTCGGTAGTAAATGAGAAAAATCAACAGACTAGGAACTCAATAAAATAGTCGTAGATGGAAATGAAAATGGAGGGGTCTCCGGAGGGCTGAGCGTTGGCTAATGGAGAAATGTATCTGGCGGATGGACAAGTGAATCGAATGGATCGCCATGTAGTTGTCGCACCCGTGACGGATGTCTGGGCTACCTATTCCAATTCCCTTTGGTCATTCATTAAAGGTGCCGCACGTTTTCATTAAGAATCCGCCGCGGAGGAGTACGCGGAAATGCGGGCCAACCCCTGCCAGCGCGATCCTCAATCCTTTCGAGGACGAGAGCGTCCTTGCCCTAAATATTCACCGCACGGCATTGTAGCCGCTTTATGGCCAATCCTTTCTGCTTGTGTGTTTGCAAACAATTCGATTTTATGGCCGCCTAAGCGAATTTCCCCGCCTCAATTAGGCTGAGGTTGTAAACTCATAAAGCAAACACGCGAGAGTGCGAACGCCGAGCAGGCAGTCGGCAAAAAAAAGGAGGAAAAAAGGAAGAATTCGGGGCAGGCACTCCGTTTGCACAGGATATCCACGCAAATGCGCATGTCCTTTGAGTGCAATTAGCCGGCGGGAAAATCCCAGTCCATCTCGATACGCTATCGAACCCAGAGCAAACCCAGCGATCGAGTTCGTGTCCGAAGTCTTTCGTTCGCCATTCTTGGCTTTCCGCCCATGGGTTCGCCCCTTTCTCGTCTGTTTGCTCGAACCCAAACCCAAACCCAAACCCACACCCAAACCCAGGCCCAAACGCAGTCCCAATCGCAAACCCAATCACAAACACAGACTCAAACTCAAACTCAGACCCAGACCCAAAACCCAGACTCATTTACATATTGCTCGTTTTCTGCTGTTTTCGCTGCGCTTAAGTATGTTTGCCCGGTCCGATCTCTCCGTGTTTGCTTTGGGCCATCTCGACCATCTTCACCATCTTGACCATCTTCACCATCTCGACCATCTCGACCATCTTGACCATCTTAACCATCTTGGCCTGTTGGCCGCCAATCTACTTTTTGCTCTTCGATGCCGCTACAGGATTTTCGTGGAAACGCGCAGCTTTAACGAGCTTCAAACTCAAAAATGGCGTGACTCGACAAACAAAGGATGTGAGAGACAAATTCAGTCTGCTTCAAAATTGGCGTTGCTACTTTGTTGGTTTTCATGATTTATGTTTTTTATAATACAGATACTTTTAATATAATACTTTTCGAACTGTCTCAGAATACTTTGACACTTAGTTTTCTTTGACTAACTTCACTAAAACATGCATTGCTTATTTCCTGTATTCCATTAAGGAGAAGACCTTTGCGACAGTCTCATAGTCATTGTGATTTCTATCCCAACTCAAAAACAGTTAAATACACCTAATACATTTAAAAGCGCAAAGCTACGTCTGTTTCTGTGAATAGAACTGGACTGCCATTGAAAATGAATCGCCTGTTTGTCAGAAGGGCGGGACAGCAGCTCACCAGGACCCTTCTTGGCCCAAGTGCTAGTCGTCTGTGTCAAGTGACCTCTGTGCGAGACGCCAGTTGCAAGGATGAGTACTCCTTGACTGACCACAAGTTCGATGCGATTGTGATTGGTGCCGGTGGAGCTGGAATGCGGGCTGGATTTGGGCTGGCGGAGAAGGGTTTCCAGACGGCCATTATATCCAAGCTCTTTCCCACCCGATCTCACACGGTGGCTGCCCAGGGTGGTGTTAATGCCGCCCTCTCAAACATGGACAAGGACGACTGGAAGTACCACTTTTACGATACGGTGAAGGGCTCCGATTGGCTGGGCGATCAGAATGCGATCCATTACATGTGTCGGGAGGCGGAGAAGGCGATCTGCGAGCTGGACATGTACGGGATGCCCTTCTCGCGAAAGCCCGACGGCAAGATCTACCAGCGTCCTTTTGGAGGACAGACCTTGGACTACGGGAAGGGCGGGGTGGCCAGGAGGGCGTGTGCATGTGCAGATCGCACGGGCCACGCCCTCATTCACACACTGTACGGACAAACGCTGAAACACTCCGATTGTTGCCACTACTTTGTGGACTACTTCGTCCTGGACCTGATCATGTCGCGAGGTGCATGTGTGGGCTGCTTGGCCTGGAAGCTGGATGACGGCACCTTCCATCGGTTTCTGGCCAACAATACGGTTGTCGCCGCCGGCGGCTGTGGGCGGGTGTACTTCTCCACGACCGCCGGACACACGTGTACGGGTGATGGCAATGCCTGGGTGTCCCGACAGGAGCTCCCCCTCATGGACATGGAGTTTGTGCAGTTTCATCCCACTGGCATCTACGGAGCAGGATGCCTTATTACCGAGGGAGTGAGGGGCGAAGGCGGCTTCTTCTTGAACTGCAAGGGCGAGCGTTTCATGGAACGCTATGCCCCAAAGGCCAAGGATCTGGCCTCCAGGGATGTGGTGGCGCGGGCCATGACCATGGAGGTTCTTGCTGGCAATGGTTGCGGTCCGCTCAAGGATCATGTGCACCTGCAACTCCATCATATCGACGCTAAGATCATTAGGCAACGATTGCCGGGCATTTTGGTCACCGCAAGGATCTTCGCCAAGGTGGACGTCACCAAGGAGCCAGTGCCAGTGCTGCCAACTGTGCACTACAACATGGGCGGTATACCCACGGACTACAAGGGTCGTGTGGTCACCATCGATGAGAATGGCAAGGAACAAGTGGTCAAGGGGCTGTACTCCTGCGGAGAAACTTCCTGCGCCTCTGTACATGGGGCGAATCGCTTGGGTGCCAACTCCCTGCTGGATCTGATCATCTTTGGCCGAGTTTGCGCCTTGGACATTGCCGCAAACAGCTGTCCGGGGGATAAGCCGCCCCAGGTGGAGGACAAGGCCACCGAGAAGTCGCTGGACAACTTCAAGCGCCTGCGCTGCGCCGACGGATGCATTCCCACAGCCGCGCTGAGGATAGAACTGCAGCGGACCATGACCAAACATGCGGCAGTTTTCCGGGAGGGAAAGCTCCTCAAGGAGGGCCTGCTCAAAGTAGCCCAGTTGTGCGAACAGTTCAAGGACATCAAGATAACCGATCGCACGCTGGTGTGGAACAGCAATCTGGTTGAAACCCTGGAGCTACAAAATATGCTTGCCAATTCGGTGCACATCATTACAGCGATGGAAAATCGCAAGGAATCGAGGGGATCCCATGCTCGCGAGGATTTCAATAAGCGCCTGGATGAGCTGGACTATGGAGCACCACTGGCCGGACAGAAAAAGAAACCAATTGAGGAGCACTGGCGCAAGCACACCATGACCTTTGCCCTGGGTGATAAGGGTTGTGCCTCGATCAAATATCGTCCGGTAGTGGACACCACCTTGGACGACTCCGTCGCACCCATTCCGCCTGCTCCGCGTACCTACTGAACTAGCTGGTCCAGTTTCACTCTCTTAAAGACTTACAAACTTAAATGAATATACACATATAGCACCATAAAATGTGGTCAGTTTGTATAAAATATAAGCTGAAGAGCTATGGTATCTATAACTACATATGTAGTTGTACTACATAATAAATAATAAACAAAGTGAGGCTTTTTAAGTTACAAATGGGTACTATTTCGATACTTGTACAAATTCAACGGCACCTAAGTGAAAACGTATATTTTCTGTGGCCATTTATTTTACCTGAATACCAGTTGGAATTTTGTTGAAAGATCTTATTAAATCAAACACAAAGACAATTCGGTTTCCTTTCGGGTTTAATTCGGTGCTTTTAAAAGAAGACCATAGAAAGATAACATTAAAATTTTAAATACTTTTTATGTGTGATGTTATTTCAACCGCATTGGAAAACGATTTCATCGGAAATAGATTACTTCTGGTTGATGCTAGCTGCAAAACATTCTTTTTGTTTGCATTCCCCTTCATAAATGTCCTTATAATACGCAAAAACATGCACGGCATAACAACGATGAAGAATAAGCTTAAGAGAGGTGCGGTTATCCAAAAGGTGCTTCCAAAAATATCAGATTTTCTTATTTTCAACATCGTCTTCAAAACAAATTCACCAAAACTGCTCCATGTGGAGGTCGGGTGTAGCCAAAACGGCAGTCGAGGCAACTCCGACCATTCGCGCAGAATCACGAGATTGCGAAGGGAGTAGGCATCCTGCGTGGAGCTCAGTCTTCGGAATTCCCCATCCAGCACGTGATATACGGTGATCTTGCCGAAGGCGGAAAATCGTCCTCTTAGCCAGAAGTACTCGGAGAGATCACCAAAAGCCAATCCCACATCGAGGCAACCCACTGAAGGGTTTGCCAGCTGGTATAAGTCCGCCTTCAAATCCTCGCACGTCGCGTGGCGTGTCGAGCAGAGTAGCAAAAGCCACTCGCCGGAAAGCAACTCGTTCCAGTTGCGGTCATCTATGAAGGTGATTAATCCATATCTGTGGGATTTCCGGGAAGATCGGGGACATAAATCGTTATGCGCTGGGCTTTTCGGGATCAACGCGCTTGGAATAACACCAAATACCGAAAGAAGAAGTATTAACTTTGAAGTCATCGTCCCGAAGGATTGTATAATGTTTGCCGTTTGTGGATTGAGTTTTGTTCATTCGATTTTTGCTATGAAATATAACTGATTGTGTCGCAGACTGTTTCCAACAAAAATAATCCGGACTACTCCAAAAAACATTTGTATTTGACACCATCGGCTTATGTGTGGCCTACTAACAACAATCTCACTTGCATCGCTCCTAATAGAAAGGATATTTTTTCAAAATTGAAATAAATCGTGTGCAGAGCGGTACAGTTGCCTCCACAGACCACTAACAGGTCATTAGCAGGAGATGGCTATCGGTAACAGTCCATCTCGATTGCCGATCCTGTTCTCGAGCGACTGTTGCCGATGGCTGAGTGTAAATAATTACCCGGCACAGGAATAAGTTGTAGGCTATGCGAGGAGCACTGCTTACAGGACAATCCGATGGGAGGACCTCCCCTAATGACCACAATAAATTATTTTCATTTAGGGGCATTTAGCATAGAGAAAAAGCCGAGTGGCTGGTAAGGAAATAATTTATAGCTGTTGAAAACTTAACATGTTTATTTGGCCACATGTGTGTGAGTGGTGTGTGTGTGTATGGGTGGGTGGAGAGAAAATGGCAAATTTTTGGGGTGTGTGGGTCCAATAATAATGGCGCTTGTTAAGGCTTATGAGTAAAATGCTTGTGTGCGTGTGCGGGGCAGCAAATGAAAGGCCAACAGAACAGAACTGAACAGAACGGAACCACAGGAATACTTTGCAGGGACACCTTACCCATCCAGCCACCCACTGGGCCACACCAAGGACATGCCCCAACTATTTGGTATGTATTTCGTGTGCCAGTGTGGATACAATTGTTGCTATTTCATATGGTTTTGCTGCTGGGCTGCTGCCAGCGACAGAAAAATTACAGTTGCATACACATTTGCCTGTGTTAAATTGTCCCACAACCAATACAAAGTGACCTTTTCATTTATTTTTATGATGCCCCCGCCCCCTGCAACATTTCCCATTTACCACATGCTGCATGAATGCCCGCCCAGTCTCGGCCATAAAAAATAGTTCGCTCGATTCAACTTTCCTGCGGCAACAAATGTTGGTTACTACGGCCCAAAGAGGACTCCTGGCTACTGGATAGAATGTGTTATTTTTCCGGGATTTCGAATTTGTTTATTTCAGACTGGGCCTAATGGAAGGGAAATCTGTGGCCGCCCAGTTTACTGGCATTTTGTGTTATATCTCCTCTGTGCTGATGGTGCTCATTCTAATGCCATTACCTTTTAGATGGAAAATTAGCATATTTTGCCAACTTTATTGGCAACTTACATGCAAAACCCATAATTGGCTTCTTAAAAAGTATTAAAGGTATTTATTCGCGTGGGTTGAAAACTTAGAACTGTCCTCATAACTTTGTTGATATCTATGCGACGCACAACTTTCTTTTTGCCTCTGTATTAGGGGAAAGTTTTAAAGTACTTGGTCAAAGTTATAGTTTAAATAGTTCAGCTCGAGCACCTTAATAAATTTTAATGTTATAGGTAGCATTTAGACGAAGGAGGAGCCGCAATATCTGCACTCGTTTATTATTTATTTATTTAATTTCATTTAGAAAGCAAACTGCTTTCGGTTGCGAAAAGAACAAACTTTTTAAGGCATGTGGCTTATGACAAGAATTCGTTTTGTTTATTTGTTACTTAGTTTTTCTATCGAAACTTTAATATTGATGTCTTGCTTAATATCAAACCATACACTGAACAGTTGTTATGTATTACTTATTTAATATTTAAAATCTATTTTCATGCGAATGCCAGCGGCTATCTGTCTTGTGGCACTCCGGACTTTTTACTCTGCTGTTTAGCTCTTTAGTTTGCCCTCGTGTTTTGAATCCTGCTCGATGCAGTGGAGTCCAAGTTGGCTGAAACTCGAAACTCTCGAAGTTGATTCTGCACTTCATCGGAAAACAAAACAAAATGTTTCAGCTTAAGCTTTTACCCAGTCACTTCAGTTTGCCAACGAGTGCAGTGCACTTGTCCCGAGGCAAGATGGAAAACGAAAATTGAATGCACTACGCACTCGCCAAATAAGTCGACTTCAAATGCATATATATTTGATTTTTATAAGAAAAATTGAAAATGTTTGAAGTGATTTATTGCATTTAATTGACGCAGAGATGATGACGGAGAGGAATGTACTTGAATGTACTTCACTTTGCTACAAAAAAGATGTCCAGTATTTGTTACATTTATGAAACTTACTTATTCAAAAAAAATATCCACCTGACTGAATTGTTTGGATTTGTGTCTATTTTTTTCAAATATGTATATTTTTCCAGTAAGGAAATGTTGTATTTTTCCGAGTGGTGCTGCATGACTTCGTAGCTCGTTATCGAGTTTGGCATTTGAAGGATTTGCCAGAGAGACACGAGTGGGGAATATATCTGTTCCGTGGCCCCAGGCGCTCCAATGGGCCATCATTTATATGTTGCTTTCGAGCCTTTGACTCAATCATCTGCTCGTTTGGAGGCAGCAGGAGCACCATAATTTAGAATTGCCCCGGGAGAAAACCGAGTCAAAGGCAGCCATTATCCCAATGACCTACGTATCCGGCTGGTCAGTTTGACCACTTTGGCAGCCAACTATTTTGGCCGCACTAAACTGCATTCCGGCCCGATCTACGGGTATCTCCTTGTTTTGTTTCGGTTCGGCTCGATTTTGTTTTAGGTTAATGGTTTCTGGGTTTCGTTTTGGGTTGAATGTGTTTTTTCCATTTTCCAGACACACAAACATGCGCCGAAACTGTTCGGCCGTATAAATTTGATTTTTTAATAAATTATACGCTACCCACTAGAATGAAAATTTATTTCTATTTCCATTTATTTACTTGCAGGTGAGTTTTCCGACCGGGAAAGTGCCATAAATCCGGGGGCAGGTAAGCTGGTGCACTAGAAATGTGCGACAAATTGAATTTCCATTGTGTAACTGGGTGCTTACATATGTTTTTCCGTAAATTGATGGCCAGATCTGAAACGTATTGAGTGCCTGTTTGGGAAACAAACAAATCGGAAATGTTCCTTTTTAATCCAGCCCAAAAGCACGTTGTAGGAAAATAATTCTTCGTTCATGAGTTGCATGCCGCAAAGTATGCAACATAAAGTATAAGCCATCTGCGTTTGTAAGGTCACCGAAGTTTCCACAACTATTATGTGGCATGTATATTTTAATCAGCTTAAGTTGGTTTGTATGGCTTGTACAGGAGTGAATTCGCATCTTTATTATTTGTATTATACAATGCTGATTAGAAAATCAAAGCTATAGCATAATATACCCACAAAAATGTTCGATGCGAAATGCATTCCATCGAATAAAATTCCCTGCCAGTTTCTAAAAGCCAGTTATTGACAATATTGTCCTAACTTCTAAATGCCACAACTAGAAAGCAACAATGAGTGTCACAACCATTTCATAGCTGCAAGGAATTCCTGTCCCGTCTTCATATCGACAGTCAATCAAGAATTTAATGTCGATACCGACTTGAAAGTGGTGATGGGCAGGCAGTTTCCTCGGCTCACAAGTCGAACAGGACTCGGATGGCAGGTTATCCAGGGAGAGATGGCATTCAATTTGAATAGGCCTGCCCATGTGGGGCTCCTTCTGGTGTCTGACAACATTTTCCTTGGGCAAATGTTCGGGGAAAGTGGCTGGGGAAAGTGCAGATGATTGCACTCACACATCGAGTTGACACTATTGGAAATACATTGCGTTTGCCTTGCTCTCGGGAGTCAAATGAGTTTTGCATAAACAAACATTGTCGACCAGTCCCTTGCCACCTGCTGCTCGGAAAACAAGTGTGAAAGCCGCAGTTGAGTGACTCGACCAGAAGTTGCCCGGTACATGAATGCGAAATATAATATATTTTATATTTTATACATTCCAAAAAGTATGTGAAATAGTATCAGGGAAGAAATCATTTATTATTTCTTTAAAATACGTATTTAATTAAGTGTTGGGAATGTAGTGACATTACGAAAATCCTCAGAAGAACAATAGATCCTTCTAACTGAAGAGTACCAGGTATACGGATTATTTTGCCTGAACTGCTGGGGACAAGAACCAGGTCTGAACTCCAGATGGGAATGCATAATTAAGGGAAGCAGGAAAAATGAGCAGGCCCTCGACGGCCATTCCAGATTATTTTTTGTTTCCCACATTGTACTTCCTGCAGCAGAGCTTGCTTCCGTTTTTCAAATTAAAATACGTTTAGCTTGGAGTGCACGTACTCATTTATCATTTTATTATGGCCAAGGCAACGGCAGGAGTTGTACTACCAACTCTGCCATTTTGTTTTCTTGCGCACTTTCGAATATTACGTGCTGGCCAACGGGGCGCATGAGTAATGCGAGCACATTGTGCACACAGAGCATCAGAATTCAGAATTGAAGTTCGGCTGGCTTGTCTGCCGACCTGTTTTTCCCTTAAGTTTTCTTATTACAGCACCCGTTCTGCAATGCGAATATCGTTGAGCAGATTTCCATTAATGGTCACTCGGCTGCCTTGCTGCTTTTCCTTTGTTTTCAGTTCTGTGGCAGCCAGTATGAGCAGGAAAAACTCCGAACAATGATAGCACACTGAGCAACCGCCCTGAAAGTAAACACAGAAAAATGGCATTTCTTTAAATTAGTTGGGTAATACTTTAAGGGCTAACGAGACTCTGTTGCAAGATGGTATTGCACAATGGACTAAGTTGTTTTGAAAAATAAAACATGCACGAAATGGCAGAATAATAACCTTAGATTTCAATCTCGAGAACCTTACTTTTATTTTCGGTGCAGTGAACAACTAAATTCTGTTGCATTTTCATTTCGCTCGTCCTGCGAAGGACTCCCGTTTTTTCCCAGGACTTGGTTTGTTTCACATTTATATTCATTTGTTTTCCGTTTTATTTACCCAGCTCAACCGCAGCAACAAATACAAACTATATGGATATGTGTGCCTGTGTACTTATGTGTGTATGTGTGTGTATAATTTTCACTGAAAGCCGAGGGGAAAATTCTCGTATTA